TTTGCTGATTTAATGAGCAGTGAGTTTGAGATGAGCATGATGGGGGAACTCAACTTCTTCCTTGGGCTCCAAATTAAGCAAACTAACGAAGGAATAATGATCCATCAGCAGAAATATGTGAAGGAGTTATTAAAAAAATACAGTATGGAAAGCACAAAGATAAACCACACTCCCATGGGAACAACCACAAGGTTGGACCAAGACCCCAAGGGAACTCGTGTGGATCAAACAAAATACAGAGGTATGATTGGTTCCTTGTTATATCTAACTGCTAGCAGACCTGACATTTCGTTTAGTGTAGGTCTTTGTGCAAGATTTCAATCGGATCCAAAGGAATCGCATCTAACAGCCGTCAAAAGGATTCTACGATACTTAAAAGGGACGGAAGACTTGTGTCTGTTCTATCCAAAAAGTGACTCGTTTGACCTAAGAGGATATGCTGATGCTGACTATGCAGGAGATTTGGTAAATCGTAAAAGCACGTCAGGTATGGTCCAATTCTTAGGCTCTTGCATGGTCTCTTGGAGTTCCAAGAAACAAAACACTGTTGCTCTATCCACTGCCGAAGCAGAATATGTGGCTGCTGCTGCATGCTGCTCTCAATTGCTATGGATAAAACAACAGTTGCGTGACTATGGCATTATTTTAGAGTGCGTTCCTATTCATTGTGATAACACAAGTGCCATTTGCATTTCTAAAGATCCAGTACAACACTCTAAAGTTAAGCATATACATGTAAGGCATCACTTTTTGAAAGATAATGTTGAAAAGGGCTTAATTAAGCTAGATTTTATTTCTACTGAATTTCAAATTGCTGACATTTTAACTAAGCCTTTAAGCAGAGACAAGTTTGAAAAGATGCGTGTGGAATTGGGGATGCTACGGCTCAAGTGACTTTTGTTTGGAACCCCTAAGGTAAAATCGGATGTAACTAACGATGCTATGCTCAATCTTGTGTGCATAACACAGCTGAAATTACCCAGGGGAAAGATTTGTGAAGTATTGAAAAGTCACGTATACATACTCTTAATATGTTAAAAATATTGAGCCATGTTGTTTCAAGTTCCCTTTTCATCATTCTTTACTCTCTGTATCATGATCACGTAAATTATCATCATAATTTACAATCAATTTGCTCTTATTTATCTTTTTCATTTTTTATCTGTTTTTCTTCTTGTTATTTTCTTTCTTATCTTTTATTTCTGTCTTATTTTTTATTCTTATCTTTTTCCTTCCTTATTTTTTCATGATCAATTTTTCTATTCCTCATAAAATTCAAAAATACAAAAAGATTTTTTTTCACGTAAGATAAGGAGCTAACATATTCACTACTCCTTAACTTCCGTATTTTTATCTATCTTATTATTGTGATACGTTTGAAAGATGCAATTATTACATCCTATTAAACCCATACTACCCCTAAAACTACCCTACTACCTTACCATACAAACCGTCACTTTTTCTCACCCTTCCCAATTAAATTTTTTCTTTAACACTCCACCTTCACCCATCAAATCAATTAAACTCCCCATAAACTTCCATAACCGGCCTCACTCTCTCTCCTCCCTATTCGCACTATTCATCTTCTCCTTCCTTTCAATTCATCCTCATAACCATGAAAACCAACCTAACCTCAACCCCGAAACAACCAAAAACCCGGAAGCCTTCCTCTGTTGGCGGCTCCCCTGAACCAGTCCCACTTGCCGTTGTTCACCCTCAAGCTTCGACAAAGAGAAAGGCTACAACCGTGAAAGGAGGTGACAGAAAGAGGCAAAGCTCTCAAAAGTCTCCATCTTGGAAATACACTCACGGTTATCACATCAATTATGACTGGTGTACGGCAAGTAAGTTCTCCGAATTCATCTCCTTAATTGATTATCAAGAATGGGTGCATTTGTTCCAAAATTGTTCTCACTATCCAATTTACCCTAAGCTTTTGTTTGAATTCAAAAATACTTTCAAACACAACAATGGTGTTTGCACGGCTACGGTCAAAGATACTCACATTCATTTTGATATTGCATATTTAGGGAACTTGTTTCAAGTCCCCACCTCTGGCTATAGTTCATACCTAAAACACAAGCAAATTGTGCAAATTGGGCATTATGATGAGAATAGGGTTATTAAATTTATCGGTGGAAACCCGAAAAGCAAGACTTCGCATCATAACATACTCACCCCTCTTCGCAAATTATTGTTCAATTTCACATGGAGAGGCATTGTTCCTCGTTTGCAAAAACGTAGCACAGTATCCCTACTAGATGCAACCATCATCTTTTGTCTTGCTCGGAAAATAAAAATAAACTTTCCAAAGTTGATGATTGAACATTTGGCTTTCTATGCAAATAAATCTACTATTCCATATGGATCTCTCCTCACTGTGTTGTTTAAGTCTTTTGAGATTGATGTTGAAAGAGAGTCACCCACTTATATTAAACCTGAGAACATTCTCTCGGAGCAATCTTTGCTTCACCTGAGCCTTAAACTTGAGAGTGGGACACTTACTTTCTTGACGAGAGGAAGTGAGGAGAAAAATCGTGGAAAAGGGAAAACACAGGTTGTAGAGGGAGATACAAGTGAGTCAGAAGAGGAGGAAAGTGAGTCTGAAAAAGAGGAAAATAAAGAAAAAGGAGAGGAAGAAAAAGGAGAGGAAGCAATTTCTGAGGGGGAACCTCAGGAGGCAGTTTCTGTGGAAGAAGAGGAGACTCAGAGTGAGGGGGAATCTAGCTCAGAAAGTGAGAGTCTCGACCTCCCTTATACAGGAGGACTAAGGCGGAGTAAGAGGAAAATTGTCAAACCTGCTACTTCTACTCTAAAGCCTGTGATCATTGAAGACATTAGCTCTTCTGATCACTCAGACCCTGATTTCACCCCTACACAAGTTCCTTTTGCCTCCGAGCCATCTCCTGTTCCTGCCTCTCCCACAAACCAAGCTAAACCCTCTTCCCCTCCTGTTTCACCAAAACAGACTTCTCCCTCTCCCTCCCCAGCTTTTCCTACATCACAGCCTACAGGCTTTGCTGCCTTCTCTGGAACAAATGCTTCTGTTTTTGATATTCAACAGGTGAAAGCAGAAATGGAGAAGCTGGTAAAGATGGTGTGCACAAAGCTGGAGGACATGGCAAAGCAGCTGGCTTCTCTTCAACGCCAAGTGCAGGCTGTGGCAGATGCTCAGGCAACCAGTTTTACTGGGATGGAGAACAAAGTTGATGCTGCTGAGAAGAACATACTGCACAGCACTCAGGAGATATTGGAGACGATTAACAGGGTGGCTTTTGAAGAGGTGGAGGAAGCTTCCAATGACCCCAAAACCCCAGCTGATGAACCTACTTACTCACCATAATTGCAATTTCAAACTTGTCACTTTTACTTCTTTTGTTTTTGCTTGTTCCATTCGGATTTCAGTTTGTAACTCATAACTTTTGCTACTCTTTCCTGCTTTTGATTTTCGTCTATGGGAACTTGGCTCGTATTTTTCATATGATTGTGTGTGTTTGCTGATGATTTAGTACCTAACTTATTTTTGCCTTGCATTATTTGAGCTCACTATTCCCTACGTAGTCTAGTGGGAGTATAGCAAAATGTTTTTTTCAATCTTTTGATAATGCCAAAAGGGGGAAAAAGACAAACTTCATGGCGGCTAAGGTGTTTACCAAGGAACTCACACATCGAAGGTACAAACTTTTGCTAAGTTCAGTTTTTAAAGTCTTTGTTAATTTTTCTTTTGCTCAGTTTTTTTAAAAAAAAAAAAAAAAAAAATAATAAAAAAAAAAAAACAAAAAAAAAAAAAAAAAAAAAAAAAAAAAATACTTTTTAATATTTTTCTAAGTTCTTTAATTGTTTTTTTGTTTTCATGCCTTACTTTAAATTTTTGTTGCATGCCTGGATGATTTTATTTACCTAAGTTTGTCAATGTTTGTCATCATCAAAAAGGGGGAATTTGTTGAGCCTTTTGGTTTTGATGGACAAATTGACAAACTCGACTAATGAATGTTTTGAGTCTTTGGTGAATAAAGGATTCAAGCAAAGTTCGTTCCGGAGTAGGAACTTGGATGCGGAGTAGCATTCTCTAAAAAGCCTCGTGCAAATCTCTCGTTCTAGTTTTAATTGTGAGCACTCAATATTATAAAGTCGGAAAGGAACTCAATGACTTATGTTAAAAAGACTACTGGAATAAAAGTTAGTTTTAAAAGATAATTTCTTAAAGAAAAGATAATTTGTAAAAGTTTTAATAAAGATAATTATCGAAGATAATTATCTAGTTGTTTTAATAAATAATAAATTTATCTTTTCAAATAAAATCTTTTTAAACAAACTTTTGATAATCTTTTTAAACAAATATTTGATAAAGATAGCAAGCGGTTTTTCTGTGTGAAAATCTTTATACGGCTAATAATTATCAAGTTGATTAAGATAGTGGACTAATTAGATAAGGCTAGGAAACCTCTTCATGATTACCATCTGTCAAGATAACTCCACAAGTTGTTAGTGGGTTGTTGGCATGTGGACGTGATTATAGTGGAGGTTAATGACTAAGCCTTCTCTATAAATACTCGTGCAAACTATCTCAGAAAAACATAACTCTTAAGCATAAAAATTCCAGTAGCCATCTAATAACATAAAGAGAGTTATTTTCCTTCATATATTCTTGAGTGCAATAGGTATTTGTAATCACATATTGTATTCAAGTACTTTGGGGTTGGGATTGTGAGTTTGTAAGGTGAGGTTAAGGAAGCTTCGTTGCTGAAGTCTTCTGTGAGAGTTGGGAACTAGTTCCTAATTTGGGGAACTTGTTAACGGGTTTGAATCTTCACTTGTACAGAGTTTGATTACATAGTGGAAATTTAGAAAAGCCTATATCTTCTCTCGTCATTATTTCATTTAGTTAAATTCCGCAAAAAGTTTTTAGATTTCACCTCAAATACAATTCACCCCCCCTCTTGTATTAGCCAGTTAGACTTTCAGACTAATAATAAACCACAATATTAAGAGATACACACCATTGATTAAGTTCAGAATTGGAGCAACAGTTGCATTAAGTGTTAGTTGCAACATGGGACCTATTACCATGCCTGGGTTCATTGAGATCAAGTCGATACTATTCTCTTTGGCAAATTTCCAGGCAGTATCTTCAGCCAAGGTCTTGGATATCGTATACCACATCTGCAACAGCCAAAGAGATCATATAAATCTATTACGGAGTATAAATGGGGGGGAGGGGGACTTTGACATAAAGGCCTCCAAAAGCTGGTGTATGTTCTTGCAAAAGAGAGGATGAAAAACATAAAAACAATCTAGGAGAGATTTAAACTGCATAAGGCATGAAAGAACTATATGATCAAGGAAGTCAAGCTTCACATGAACAAATCCCAGAATCCAATGTCTTTGAAAGATAACTGCGTAAATTTTTAAGCTAGTGCACTAAACAACATGAGAAATTAGTTTAACTTCAATATCCTACCCCTTCATATAACACGTTAATTCCCTTGAATGAGTACAGAGGGTAGACATACCATACTTGATTCCTTGCATAACTCTGTATCAGAAAACCAACTTTCATCGACAACAACCTCAGGAGCTCGAGGCTTTCCAGTAAATAAAACTGCAGACATTGAAGATGTCAAAACCACTCTTCTCACGGTAGAAAACTTTTTACAAGAGGTAAGAACGTTGAGTGTCCCCTTGATTGCTGGATCAAGCACATCAGCCTGCCAATTAGGAAGTATTTAGAAAAAATGAAGAGTAAATAGATGGAAATATTGAAAGTCACAACCATTAGTCACACCTTCATTTTTTATTACACATGGATGAAATCTTCGCAAATATGGAGTAGTCTATACCGAAGGAATGGTGTAGGGAAACCATGTACACCATGATCCTTTGTAAAACATAAGGAAGGACAATTACTTGTAAATTTGTAATAATGAAATTTCTTAATTATGTGAACCATACATATAAATTGAGCAATAGTTTTGTAATATCATGAACTGTTAACTTATAACTATTTTGTATTAAACTCAATTAGTGTTCATTCAGTCTGTCACTCTTCAAAGTGTTCTATAGCCCTTAAGCATGGTATAAAGAACAACCATCACCCTTTGGTATTATGTGAGGCGATTTAAATGTATGCAACCTCATCCTTTTAATAGCTCCATTTTCAAGTAATGATGCCAAGGATGAACACACAAACGTTATTAGTCCCCATGGTAAAAACTAACAAGTTACTTCTATAATCATTATACATTTTAAATCAAACCATGATAAGTGGACAAAAGATGGGTTATTACATTAAAAAGAAGAAAAAAAAATGAAAAATGTTGAGCCTTGAAAGTCAACCTTCTTATCCATAGAACACAAAAAAATCCCTCTATGAGCCCTTGGTTTGTTGGTAACATTATCTCAATTTGTCCACCCGGTGGCAAGTACGAGTCTCCTCCCCCTACTGGCCCACCGCATAATCAATCAATCAAAGTTTTAATCCCATAAGTGGGGTCGGCCACATGAACCAAAAGTAATTATTCTGTATAGTCATTCACAAAAATCTTCCTTCTCCATCCCTTACGATCAAATACCTCATTCTTATGCAAATCCACAAGAGAAAATACTTCCTCTACTTACCACTAATTGCCTAGCAGATTCTTGTTCAATGTTAAAGTCTTTTAACAAATGTTAATACTACATTTTTTTACTACTAGTAATAGATTAGATAAGTAAACATACTACAGTATAAGAAAATTCAGAAGAAATAAAAGTGAACCTGGGGATCATTAACAGTGAAAAGAACAGGAGAAGCAGTATGAAAAACACCATGACAACCAGAAATAGCAGAATCAAAAGAACCCTCTTCCATTAAATCTGCTTTAAAAAGATGAAGTCTTTCTTTTGCACCTTCTAACCCCAACAAATGTTCAACCTTTGTTTGATCATCTGAAAAAATAATTGAATCAATGAAATTATTAAGAAACATAAAATTCTACATTTCTAAAACAAAATTGAACAAGAAAGAACAATTAATCAATTAATTAATTAAAAGATTGGTCCAATTTCATCAATTATAGTGACACCCCAAATGAAAATTCCAAAAAAAAAAAAAAAGAGGGGAATTACTTGGGTTACGAACAGTGGCATGGACAGTATAACGACGAAGAAGCAAGAGTTTGACAAGCCATGAAGCGATGAAGCCAGATGCTCCTGTCACACACACAACCTGCCCGTGTCCACTCATCTCTCTCTTTGATTTCTGAATTCTCAAATGCTGATTAGTATGAACAAATGGAGTGTAAGAAATTGTTTTTTTTTTTTGGCACAAAGAGTATAAAAAATTAAGAACAACTACTTTATAAAAATGGTTTGCTGGTCCAATGTATGATAGAGACTGCCCCCATTCATACTCGTGATAAATGCGGGTTGTTCAAGCCGTAAATAACATGAACAGGTCCGTACATTGCAAAGTTGTCATGTGAAGTGGACTGATATGGGTACAACGCTGCATGAAGTAGAAATGAAGTTTTGAGATATCTTCAACAGAACGGGGCATGGAAATTACGGGGTGGGGCCATTGCAATAGTAAATTTGCAAATATGTGGTTCTAGCATTCTGGGTTTGTGTCTTAAACTTAGGATTGATAATGTTGATTGTATTACTTTTTAATTTTTAGGAAACGTTATTGTGATTTAATGATTTTGGCTCGAAGCAGTAACTAGTTGATGGAGTTGTGAAGTGATATATTAAGATTAAGTACTACCTCCGTTTTTTTTATGTGCAACTTTGGGACTAAAAACGGTTCACGAGGCAAAAGATTGAATGGTAAAAATTAGGAAAAGTAAGTGGGTTTAATTAAAGTAGAAGGAGAGAGAAAGTGTGGACCACACTTTATTTTGTTGGTGGGAAATTTTGGCAGAAAGTACAAAAGCCAAAATTTCCCCCAACAAACCCACCGAAAATTAAAGGAGGGAATAAAAGCATCCTCCATTGTCAACCAATAATTACAATCAATAATTACTAAGGCACTCCAGAACATAAACAGAGAAGCAATCAGAGATATGCTACTAACAAAGGTCATTCCAGCAATCATGTCAAAGTGGCCTGAAGGTCTGCCCAAGGATGTGGTCATCCAATGGGACAATGCAAGGCCTCACCAAGTTCCTACAGATGCTGAGTTTCTGGCAGCAACAACAGCTAATGGGTTTAACATTCAATTTGTTTTTCAGCCAGCTCAGTCCCCTGATTTGAATGTCCTTGACTTAGGGCTATTTAGGTCTATACAGTCTTTGCAATATCAGTCTTTTCCTAGGGACTTAGATGAGCTGGTTGCAAAGGTGAAAGAGTCTTATGACACATTCAACCCCCAGGTTAACAAGTACATCTGAGTTACATTGCAAAAATGTATGATTAAGATACTCAAGGCTGAAGGTGGTAACAAGTACAAAATACCACATATGAACAAAAAAAAGCTGGAAAACCTAGGCAATCTTCCAAATTTGGTAGAGGTTCAGAAGAAGGATGTATTGGAGGCTGTGGAGTACCTAAACACTATGTTTAGGCCAGCAAATCAAGGGACTCAAGAACTCACAAAAGATTTGGAGGTGGATGCAGATTAGGGGACTCTTTACAACAACCATGCAACACATGGACTGCCACACATAACCACTTCTCCTAGTAAGTTTTATTGGTTTTTTTTTTCCCAAAAACATTTTGAACAATCAAGTGGTTAGGTGTATTTTGTTGATTACAATTACCCAAACAAGTCAGGCAGTCTGAAGTAATGTCATTAGATTATAATATGGTCTTTTGTAAAGTTTTATGTTCATTACTCAAACATATTGTATTTTGTACCCACATTTTTAGTTGATTATGAATGACAAAGATAGACAATATATGTGGGCACTAAATCCATCAGAGGGTTATAATGTTGAATACCACACATATGCACAAGGGTACCTCAACAACAACAGCAACTTGCATGTTGATGGAGCAAATCACTTGTGCATATTGAAATTCATTAGAGTCCCTTCATCATGTGGATATGGGTAAGCAAAATAGCATGTCAAAGTAGGGGATTCTTTAATAAACAAGAAACAGAAGGCAACATCAGGGGATTCCTTTTAAGGGACTGACTAGGCAACAATGAACATGCACAAGACACCAGCCTCATCATTCATCAATCAAGTCCACACAGCTAGCACAGTGTACCCAAAGGAACTACAACACAATTAACATAACCAACAACCCAAGATGCAACCAGATGTACCAACACACACATGCAACCAGTAATTAATCTCCCAGATATAACATAACCATCAACCCAACATGCTATCAGGCCACAGGCCACAGATTCCCACAAAACAGCAGTAAGCTAAATAGCACATCAAAGTAGGGGGCTCTTTAATAAACAAGAAAATAAGGCAACATCAGGAGATTTAGGTTAGGGGACTGTCTAGGCAACAATGAACATGCACAAGACACCAGCCTCATCATTCACCAATCAAGTCCACACAGCCAGCACAGTGTACCCCAAGGAACTACAACACAATTAACATAACCAACAACCCAAGATGCAACGAGATGTACCAACACACACATGCAACCAGCAATTAATCTCCCAGATATAACATAACCACCAACCCAACATGCTATCAGATCCAGGCCACAGGCCACAGATTCCCACAAAACAGCAGTAAGCTAAATAGCATATCAAAGTAGGGGGCTCTTTAATAAACAAGAAACATAAGGCAACATCAGGGGATTTAGGTTAGGGGACTGTCTAGGCAACAATGAACATGCACAAGACACCAACCTCATCATTCACCAATCAAGTCCACACAGCCAGCACAGTGTACCCCAAGGAACTACAACACAATTAACATAACCAACAACCCAAGATGCAGCCAGATGTACCAACACACACATGCAACCAGCAATTAATCTCCCAGATATAACATAACCACCAACCCAACATGCTATCAGATCCAGGCCACAGGCCACAAATTCCCACAAAACAGCAGTAAGCTAAATAGCATATCAAAGTAGGGGGCTCTTTAATAAACAACAAACATAAGGCAACATCAGGGGACTCCTTTTAAGGGACTCAGTAGGCAACAATGAACATGCAGAAGATCAACACAAAAATACAAATAAACCCTAACATTTAACATAATCAACAACCCACCAATAAACAACAACGAGTCAAAGTTACCCATAACAGCAAACCCTTAGCATCCAGCGTATATCAACACAACAAACAACCCATCATGAAACCACAACCAGTCAAACAATCCCGCAATAAACAGTGAAACCCTAGTTTCAGCCATAGATCAACCGGCACAAAAATTAGGACTCTTTTAAAATTTAAAAAATTTAAAAAAATTAGGAATAGGAATCGTTACGCAAGGCTCAGGGCTCAGCCTCCTCATCAGAGGACAGCACCACGAGGCCGGCCTCCGGCAAATCAGCCAACCCGCGCATACGCCTCATCGCCACCACTGCAGCCTTCCTCTTTCGCCAAAGCTTCGGAGGAGGCCTGGAAACCTTAGATCCGCGCTTGGGGGGGGGGGAGGGCGCAACACTGACCTCCACAGAATCGGACTCCAGATCTACATCTTTAACCTCAAAATCAATTTTTTTTTTGGCATGGGAGTCACCTTCACCCTCCTCTTTGTTCGTCTTCTCCCCCTCGTCGATATTTTTCAGGACTTCCCCCAAAGTTTTGAAAGTCGTTGGAGAACAGCAACTTGGGCCTTCCTCAGAGTTGTAAAGGCGGCGAGGAAAATCATTGCCCCGGTTGATGTCGTTAATGAGGGACTTGATAAACTTAGCCTCACTCTGTGAATCTGTGCCAATATAGGCGTCAATAAGTGGATCTAGGTCATGTAACGGAATTGTAACGTCTGGATGCCTCTCGAAAGGGGAGGGAAAGGGGGAAGACATGATTGTGGGACTCTGAATTTTTTTGGAAAGAGGCGAAGGAAACGAAGAAGACGAAGAACAAGAAAAGGAAGAAACTGATCTAGGGTTCTATAGAATTCTCTAGATCAGTTTAGAAAAGGTGGTTGGGAAGATGTAGAGTTGTGTCGTTTGGGGGGTAAATTGGAGGGAGTAATTAGGTTAGGTTAATTTAGGTGTGTTAAATTAAGTTAGGGTTATGGGTAATGAGGGGTAAAAGTAAGATGATTAAATTTTTTAAGTGGGGGTAATATAGTAAATTCAAGGGTTTTTATTTACCAAAAATGGAATGAAAAAGGAAAGTTGCACATAATAGTGAACGGACTAAAATGGCAAAAGTTGCACATAAAAAAAAAACGGAGGTAGTATATAGTTTATCTACTATAGTTGGCCTATTTGGCAAATTCCATTTAGATCAACCAATCTTGAGAGGGGGTAGAAGAATATGTTCTTAGTGATTTGGAAAGTATAAGGTTTCAGAAGGTAGAGAAGTCCCTGGCTGCTGGCTTCGATTCTACCCAGCCGCGGCCTTATTACTTTGAGGGGATATTTTATTTCTCTAAAGAAATTACTATGGTAGAGATTGTTGGTGGGACTTTTGAATTTTGATGGTAAATATTAAGAAAATCTTGTTTAGGTTCTATTGGATGGGATCAAGACTAGTATAGATGCTAATTTAAAGGATTATTTATGAATATGTATCGAGTCATATAGGAGAATGTGGTATCATGGTTGATACTCCAATTTAGCATGATACAATTGTTAAGTTATTCCATAGCTTGTAGAGGATGAAATTATTACAATGGATGTTTGCCTAGCTTGATGACTTGTACAAACTTAATCACCAACTCTTTGACAATACTACTACCTCCGTTACAGGTTATGTGCAACGATTAGACATTTTTCCTCGCTCTCTGCTTTAAGTCAAATCGTTGCACATAACCTGTAACGGAGGTAGTATTATTACTTGATGACTTGTAAACTTAATCACCCTTCAAAGACAATGTGAGATTGGTACTATATGATATGATATTACTTGCCTTGAGATTGGTAAAGCTTAACCCACCATGGAACCATTTTCAATATGTATTGCAAGTTATATCGTGAATGAATTGGGAAGGTGCAGAGAGTCAGAGATCATCAAATGATCTCACTCTTTTCTCTTTCTCACAAAAATGGAAACACATTACTGCATGTTGTCTACTTGTCTTTGATTGAAGTTATCAAATTTCCTAAGGTTCTGAATAATTTTTATATACCTTTTGAAATTTTATCAAATTGTACTCGTATAACTGGATTCATAATTGGTTATCTTGGTCCTCTTTCCCTAGAAAGGGCACAAACTTCCGAGCTGTGACATGTTGTTAATGATAAAATCAGAAAATAATGTTTAAAATGTTATATTTGTTAATAATGTGAAGACTAATGTGACTTCTTCTGATTAGGGATGACAACGGGTCGGATTCGGATCGGGTGGAGCTTCACCCGCATCCATCCGCTACCTCCATCCACTCCACCCGATCCACCCACCACCCGCTAACCCCATCATCCACATCCGATCCACCCATCATCCGCGGGTGAAACGGGTGGATCGGATGATAAACGGGTGAAGATTAAACTTGTGTTATGAAATTAAACAAAAAAAAATGATGCTAAGTAATTCCTATTGTGCCATCTAAATCGGCATTGCAAAAATTAAAAAAAAATATAGCACTAGCAATTTAGCATTACAAGATCAATTACTAGTACCACCAACTATGAAATACATGAACTATTGATATGATTAAGTTAAATAAGTGATCTGTGATGCCATTTTCCCTTCAAAAATTCATGAAATTAATGAACTTAATCGCATAAGAGGAGTCGCCGCCTCGCCCAAGAGGAGTGTGAGACGTTCGGGTGAGAAGTTGCCGGTAAAAATGGAATATTTGGTGGTGAGTAGAGAGTGTGAGGAACTAAAGAAGGAGAGAGACTGTTAGGAGGACTTGAGAGTTGAGAATGGATATGTGCGGCTAGCTGTATGTAGTATGTACATTAGATTAGGGTTTTTTAAAAAAGTTTTGTATTTTTTTTTATATAAAAATAAATGGGTGGATGATAAGCGGGTGATGGATCGGGTGACGGATGACTTAAAGCTCCACCCGAATCCGATCTGATCCGTCACCCGTTTCATCCACCACCCGCCTTCCATCCATTTAAGTCGGGTTTTCATCCATTTAATTTAAGCGGGTGGAGCGGGTTAATGGATATCCATATAAAATTGTCATCCTTATTTCTGATTTTATATTAGAGGGATCTCTTTTGATGTATCTCAGATGTTTGAAAGATTAATTGGCACAAAGGGCGTCTAATAAGTAATAACAACAGATTCATCCCAGAGTCAGTTTTAATGAGCCGATGAATAATGCATTATGATCATCTTTTTTTTTTTTTTAATGCTTTTTGCAGTCTATCTCTAAGGTCCACATATATTAGAAGGGGGGCGCCGATGAGCATAAGGTGAAGGGGCTCCCAAAATTGGGAGGGGGCTGTCGATGAGCACAAGGTGAAAGGGGTTGCTGAAATTGGAAAGGGGAAGGATCCGAAGGAGATGAATTTTAGAAGTATAAATCTATGTTATCTGATCTTCAAATATTACATATTACATGTATAAATGTTAATCAAATTATAAGGATGAATAGTGTTTTTGTTTGGATTTAATAATTTAATATAAGGATGAATTGTGTTTTTGTTTAGATTAATTAATTTAATTTTTACAAAAATCAAATTAAATTAGCTAATTTTTTTTCCACTTTCTTGAGACCAAAGAGACTCACTAAGTTAAATAGGCGATCTCAGCATTCTGAAAAAAAAAAAAAAAAAAAAATCCTATCTTAAATGGAATCCTTCCAATTCAATATAAAGATTTGTACCCTTCATTGCTAAAGAGTTGTACCTTTGACTGTTTTAATAGAACCTTACAGTATTTCAATAAAACCTTACAATTATTTAATGGAACCCTTCTATTCAGTATAAAGAGTTGTACTCTTCATTGCTTCAATGAAACCTTAGAACCCCTGCTATGCTCTTCCTAGAAGCTCAAAAGAACAGGGCCTACCTATGTTTCACATTTTTTTTTTTTTTGCAACTTTAAAGGGTGCACGGACTCATAGGCAAAATTTGTTTGTGAGTGTAAGATAGAGAGAGAAAAATAGGAATACATGTAATGAGAAGAGAGATAGAGAGAAATGACAACCTAAAAAGAAAAGAAAACTTTAGTTGATCCATTTTTGGCAAAAGTTGCAAAAAATATGAAAAGGAGGTAGTATATCATTTTATTACTCATTATAGCTTTTTCATACAAAAGGGTACCATTAAATCTTAGAAGGGTATCACTTACTTACAGAAGAGTACCACTTTTGATTCAACTATTATTCAAAATACAAGAGCAAATGGTACCACATTGAAAGGGTTTCGTTATATTTGTGCCCGGTTATTGCACTTTTGCAGTTAAAAGGAAAAAATGTTTTCTCTACTTTCTCTCTCTAGTTTTTTCTCTCAACTAGGTTGATCATCAGAGGTTTCCCTTCTCGCCTTGGCGAGGGTGCTCTAAGAGTCTCCTTGTGCGGGGAATTAGCTATTTCTCCTCAAATTGTTTTCCTTTCTTTACTTTCTTTTGCAGGCATTGAAGTTTTCTCATGTTTGCTAAATTCTTCTAGTCCCTCCCTATGGCGCCTTCTCCCATTTTGGATATACCAACATGGAAGAAGCTCCAAATATAGAAGCTAACTCCCCTCCTAGCCCTTCTGAATCCGGTCATTTATCCCCCAAACCCTCCCTCCTCGAACCTAACCCCCCTATCATTTAGAGAAGCTGTCAAAAGCTCGTCTCAATGGTTTGCTGGTTGAAGCTCGTGAAATTGTTGTTTCATCTCTTCAATGGGAGGAAGAGGATATCACCCCCCCCCCCAAACCATACCAACACGTTCTCTTTTGCCAAAGAAACCCTAGACAAACTTAGTCACCCTTAGAAACTAACCCTAATGGGGAAGTGTTTGGGCATCTCTGTTAGGCCTTCCTTTATCACCCAAAGGGTCAGAGTGATGTGGAAACTTAGAGGCTCTCTTGAGGTCATCGACTTAGGAAAAGATGTCTATCTTTTTCGTTTCTCAGTCACAGAAGATTATGAGCGTGCCCGTCTTGGTGGTCCTTGGTTTGTTCTTGATCACTATTTGATGCTTACTAAATGGAAACCAAATTTCCGACCATCTATGAATCCATTTAATAGAATGATGGTTTGGATTCGATTCCCGAAACTTCCAGTTGAGTACTACGATAAGCTAGCCCTATTTGAAGTTGCTAAAACAGCAGAAAACCCAATTCGAGTTGATTATGCTACTGATCATCTCACTCGTGCCAGATATGCCAGAGTCTGTATTGACATTGATCTTACCTTACCGTTAGTTAACTCAATTTGGGTTAGTAATGGGTGGCAACAAATAGACTATGAAAACATACACTCACTATGTTTTAATTGTGGAATTATAGGCCACCTAAAAGAAAAGTGCTCACTCAACAACAAAGGGAAACAATTTGTTACTCAAGCTCCCCTCCATTCCACCGAGGCCTCAACTTCCAAATCCACTAACCTTAGCCATACAAAAAGTGGGCCTACTACTATTACCCAAGCCCAGCACATGGAACCAACCTCTTTGTCAAACTCCACTGAGATTTCTTTACCCCACTCCATTGAAACATTTGATTGAGATGATAAATTTATTACATCGGTATTATAATTTATAAATAAGATGCATAGTAAAAAAAAACATCGGACATATATAATGACAAGTGACATCTTCTTGTGTATCATTTTTATGGATATATAAGTATCATCTACAAATAAACTTTTAAGGCAATATACAAACAATGATTAAACTACAATTATTATTGGATAGCTTCAAACACATTTTTACATAATAACAAAGAGCGACGCCATCAATTCATACAGCTGTATAATAAGTTAATAACAAAAAGCGACGATGTCAATTGTAGTTTTAGTAATTTTTGCTTTATTTTTTTATTTTTCCATATGCATTGCATTTTTTTTTATTTCACATGATTGCCTCATTTTTATATTGTATCACAATTAATTATAGGAAAATGATTTACATCACACGAGCACTAATCTAGTACTTACTAATCGTCTTCCGATCACTTTCTGTTGTACCACTCTTGAGACTTTTTAAACCTCACTTTGTTTTATTTGTTCCATAGAATGCCTCAATGCCACAGCTTCTTGACCATTAGAAGAGCGCATTGGGGGAACACACACATACAGTTGGTGTAGCATTGCAAAGAGCCAAAGAGGGTAACATTTGAAAACATGCACTGGAGTCTACACCATGAAGACAGGAGGTGTGATGAATTTGACATCAGGTAGCCAATTTAACAAAGGCAATCACTCTTGCTCTTTTGGTGTCATGTTCTTCAACTCAGCTGCCAATACCAAGGCTATGCTCATACTCGTCTCTACGTTTAAAAGTGAAAATTGTTGCCATAAAATCTTTTCGTATATATCAAATTCAACCCCAACACCCACCCACCCCCGCCAACCAGACAGTTAAAAAGGAAAGAACAAGAGCACAAGCTTGGCAATTATTTCACTATGGTAACTCAATACGATCAGATTTAGCATTGTTATTCAATATAAACTCAAATTAAGACAGACTTTCACCTCCGGAGATTATGACAGTTCATTCATCAATAATTATTAAGCCCCGGTACCCCCCTAGTCACACTTAAAGCTCAAAAGGCCCTTATCCATCAAGTTTTGAACCGTCTCTTTGAGGGTTACTTCAAAGGGAGTATAGCTTATGCCCAAACTTTTAACTTTCTCTTTGGAAACCTGGTATGTTGGTGCAAAAGGTTTGTCGTCAGCACACCTGAAGAAAATTTTCACGGAGGATTCAGAAGAGCGGATGACATTATTTAAAAGTACAGGTAAATTTCTATGATAAGTCAGAAGGAAAAGGAAACTCACTTATCCGGAAGTGGGAGTGAGGGGTAGAGTTCTTGTAATATCCTCACGACCTCAGAAAAATGAGCAACAGTTTCGACCAAAACATACCTCCCAGAAGCTGAAGGGACCTCAAATGCTAAGATATGTGCAGTTGCCACATCCTTAACATGGACCAAACCAAAGGCTGCATTTGGAAATGTTTTTGCCCCTGTATAATATACAGAGAAAAACAAGAAACATGCGTAAGTTAATGCAGTAATGCTTACTTTTAGAGATTAATACCGGACCATGATATGAAGAGATACACACCATTGACACAGCTGAAAAATAAAGCCATAGATCCATTAAGTGTTGGTTGCAACATAGGACCTATTACCATGCCTGGGTTCATTGAGATCATTTCGATACCATTCTCTTTGCAAAATTTCCAGGCAGCATCTTCAGCCAAGGTCTTGGAAATCCTATACCACATCGATATGGACTGTACCAGCCAAGGAGATCACATAAATCAATTACAAAGTATATATAAGACTAAAGACCATCACATAAAGGGCTCCAAATGCTAATGTAGCTGCAAAAGAGAGGAAGTAACACATAAAAATACTCTAGGAAAGATTTGAACTGCCTCGAAAGATTGATATGATCAGGGAAGTCAATCGTCTCATGAACAAATCCCAGAGTAAAAATTCTTTTAGAGAGCAGATATAGTAAGCAAGAGCACTCTAAAGTCTAAACAGCGTAAAAATACTAGTTAGCTTCTATATCCTACCCCTTTATAATGTAACACATAATTTTCCTGGAATAAGTGTTATGTTTTACAACAGATAATAGACGTACCATAATTGGTTCCTTGCACAACTCTGGATCAGAAAACCAACTTTCATCGACAACAACCTCAGGAGCTTGAGGCTTTCCAGTGAACAAAACTGCAGCCATTGAAGATGTCAAAACCACTCTTTTAATGGAAGAAAACTTTTTACAAGAGGTAAGAACGTTGATTGTTCCCTTGATTGCTGGATCAATCAAATCAGCCTGCCAATTACAAAGTACTTAGGAAAAATGAGGAGTAGATAGCTTATAAATTATAATATTGAAAGTCACAACAACCATAAATCGGTCACACCATATTCTACTTCCTCTGTTTTTTTTAACTTGACCTGTTTCTTTTATCACGCTTGCCAATGCAAAACTTTAACGATCAATAACTTAAATTCTCCATAAGTAAAAATTATAAAAGTTATATATTATGATAGTACTTATTGACACGAATCCAAAAGATCATACATGAATATATTTTTCCTTACATATTATTCACAAAAGACAGTCAAAGGAGGGGTGGTGAATAGTGTAAAAGTCAAAGCGGGTCAAGTAATAAATAACGGAGGAAATATTAAGTTGAAATAAAGAAGTACAAGGATAATGGAAGGATCAATCTTTTCCCAAAACAAATAATCGGATACAGGAATTAGACAGACAACAACCTTAACTTGATTATCAAGTCTCAATTTACACATGAATGAAATCTTAATAGTCAATACTAAAGGGTGGTGTAGTAAAAATGTAAAATCATGCACACCATAATCCTTAAAAACACGAAAGCAAGAACAAATTTATTTTAAATATGTAATTTCCTAAGTGAATAAATTTTTATTATCATGTTAAGTATCAAACTTAGGGTTTGTTCTCTTCAACATAATTTTAGTTTAGTTCAGTTCAGTTTGGTAAATTAGAATAGGCCCTTAGAGTTGATAATGTATGTCACTCTTTAAAGTAGTTTACTGTCCTCATAATAAGCATGGTACTCTGTACAAAGAACAACCACCACCCTTTGGTATAATTTGCGGCAGTTCAAATGTATGCAACATTGCAACTTCATCCTTTTAAAAGCGCCATTATCAAGTAATGATGACGATGATATTCCATACATAAACCCTACTAGTCCACATGGTAAACAACTACAATTTTCTACCATAATCACTGTACAATTGATAACAAACCATTTAGATTGACAAGAAATTGGGTATGCACTTCCCGGACATAAGAGGAACTTACTATCATTATCACAAGACAAAATGTTCAGATTCTAAAGTCACCTCCATATGAACATATCCATGGATCATAAACATTCCCTGTATGAGAACCTTTTGTTAATCCATCTACCCGGTCTCAAGTTCGAGTCTCATCGTTCCCTACTTACCAAAAATAGCAAATAATTCCTCTATCAAGTATTTTCTAACTAGCTCATTGTTTTAAGTCTTCTAAGAGTCCTTACATTGTAACATTCCATCATTAATGTTAATACTTACTCCGATTTTATTTTTTTTTGAATGTTCGCAACATATCCTCTTGCCTCTTGACTCTCTCCGCCCCTTATTTACATTCCTGCTTTCCTTTTTTGGTATTTCAAAATTACATTTCTACTTTCCTTTTTTAGTAAGTAAATTTTTACCAAATATCTTCAATTATTCCTCTTTTTTTATTTTGTAATTAATGCTTTCTCTATTTTCTCACTCTTATTTTCTCATTCTCACTCTTATTAATGCCTTTAAAAAATTCAAAATCCAAGTGCATTACTTTAGATGAATATGATGTCCTTTTATTTTCACCAAAAAATGTTATTGGTCCTTTTTCTTTTCAAAGAATTGATGACATATGCATCATTAAATATTAGTCAATCTTTATTTTATTCAAAGACATCAATTTGTAATTCCCATTGTACTAAATTTGACACATCAACAGAAAATGGGAGAAAATAAGGAGTTAAATATAAATTGAATTTTAATAGAACTTGTGCCTATTATTTTAGCCAATTAAAACATGACAAATTAGAGTTGTATGTAGGGACCACGTACAACAATTGTTTGTGAAATTCTTTAATTCCCGTGTAATTTTAGAAATAGGATTGTAAAAAAGGAACGGAGGAAGTAATAATTAAATTGAATTAAGCAAGCAGACAAGAAGAAAATTCAGAAGAAACAAAAAAGAACCTGAGGATCATTGACAGCAAAAGGAACAGGAGAAGCAGTATGAAAAACACCATGACAGCCAGAAATAGCAGAATCAAAAGAACCCTCTTCCATTAAATTTGCTTTAAATAGGTGTAGTCTTTCTTTTGCACCTTCTAACCCCAACAAATGTTCAACCTTTTTCTGATCATCTGACAAAACAATGGAATTCTTAAAATACTTCTAGTTTCCTAAAATCAAATTGAATAACAAACAATAATTAATTGATTAATTCATCAAAATTTTGGTCCAATATTATGAAAACATAAAATAAATAAAATTAAAAATGAATTACTTGGGTCACGAACAGTGGCATGGACAGTGTAACCACGGAGAAGCAAGAGTTTGACAAGCCATGAAGCAATGAAGCCAGATGCTCCTGTTACACACACGACCTGCCCGTGTCCACTCATCTCTCTCTTTTTCTCCAATAGAATTCTTACAAGTGATGATTAGTCATGGGTAAATATAGTATTGAAGGAGAATAGAATCCCTCGAGAGTCTCGTGCGTTTATCCCTAAACCTCAACATACGAGGATGTCACTACTCAATCATATTTTTAAATACAAATTTTTGTATGTGGCTGGCCACATGGTGCGACAAGGGTTACTTGTAGGGTGTTACTGGTTTTGTCAGGGGTTACTTGTAGGTATTACTTGTATTGTGGGGTTACTTGTATGGGTGTTACCGGTTTTGGTCGGGGTTACTTATAGGGTGTTACTGGTTTTGTCAGGGGTTACTTGTATTCTGGGGTTACTTGTATGGGTGTTACTAGTTTTGGTCGGGGTTACTTGTAGGGTGTTACTGGTTTTGCCAGGTGTTACTTGTATTCTAGGGTTACTTGTATGGGTGTTACTGGTTTTGGTCGGGGTTACTTGTAGGGTGTTACTGGTTTTGTCAGGTGTTACTTGTATTCTAGGGTTACTTGTATGACTGTTATTGGTTTTAATCAGGGGTTACTTATAGGGTGTTATTGGTTTGGTATGAGATTTTGGTCGGGAGTTACTCAGAATACAAGTAACCCCACGATACAAGTAACCTCATAATATAAGTAATACCATACAAGTAACTCATACAAGTAACCCCAGAATACAAGTAACCCTAAAATACAAGTAACCGTGACGCACCATGTGGCTTGGCGCACTGAAAAATCTCTTATTTTTAATTTATTTTTATGGTAATAGAAGGGGGCTCAATTGAAAATACTCCTCTACACGCGAGTATGATTATTTTACTTCATTTGTATAAACATAATTGTCACAATTACTTAATCTATATTGAGCTCTTTCCCAAAATATTGCTGAGGAAATACTCAATTTCATATATACCGTCTCTTTTTATTTAATTCCGAGATTACCGTCCACGTCTTCGGTTTAAGCGAGTTTTTTATTTTTTCGGTTTGTACAGAAAACCAAGTAGCGGTGTACAAAGATAAACCGCTACTTCAAGTAGCGATTTTCATCTAAGTAAACCGCCACATCAAGTATATTTTCCTAATTTCATCTTGTACAAAGATAAACTACTACCTCAAGTAGCGGTTTCTATTTGAACCGATAAAAAAAAAAGGGTTATTTTTTTTCCCTGCTTATGTGGACAATATTTAGGGAATTTTTGAAAAAGGGACGGTAATTTGAGAATTAAGTCTTTTGGCAGCATTATTTAGGGAAAGAGCTCATCTATATTGTACTCCGTAATACGCTAGTTCTCAAAAGAAATATTGTAATACACTAATACAGAGTACGGAATACTCTCACTATTTTTTTTTTTTAAATGCATCACTTTAACTTTTGTATTATTCACATACTATAATTGACTTAATTTTTTCACCTCTATAAAATGAATAAATGTTATTGTATAATATAATACTAATGATCAAAATTACGTTTCTACAAATATACCGATCAAACTAATACATTAAAAAAAAGGAAAATAGAGAAAGTATTAGGGAGGCGAAATGAGTGAAACCTAACACTATTTAATACTAGTATCATAATTTGCTCTTGCCTTTATATGCATATGGAGTAGTTTTTATATTGCTCTTGCCTTTATATGCATCTATGCCTTTATATGCTAGTACCACATACTTATGAAACTTTACTTGGTGGAGTTGGTGGGGAATTCCCGAGCCCTACCCCCCACCAACTATAAAATGCTTGGGAGTACGTAGGGGATTCTCTTACCTCTCCTCTACTTTCAAGTGTGACCTGCGGAGCTAGACTGACTAAACTTGTGAGAGATGCCGGTTCAATAAGGTCTTCCATCTTATCTTGAAAAAAAAAAACTTACCACATACGTACATTTAATTTGCTACACAAGTAACATTTTCTTAATGTAATTCATTTTACAGAATAATAAACAATTTTGAATAATTCAACAATATAATTGTAATATTACTGTAACTTCTATGATGCAAAATGTAACATTTTCATTCAATTCCTCCAGCAATGAGATCCAAATTAAGTAGCACTAGGAATATCAATCAACTTCTTCTCCCTGAGCTTTTCAACAGTATCCTTAACACTGTCTTTAAGAGGAATATATTGTATGCCAAGGCTTTCAGCTTTAGCTTTCGAAACCTGGAATGTTTTTGCCAATGGTTCATCATCTACACACCTAATTGAAAACCAGTAGTACAAAAGGTTACAAGAGACGTAAAATATGATAAAAGAATGCATCAATTTTAATAGTTTTCTGCAACTTTGGGGTATTATTAGTGAGATATAAAATATTCTAAAGTTGCAAATAACCATTAATGGAAGTAGTACAACTAATTAAAGAGACTCACTTTTCAGGAAGTTGAATAGAAGGGTAGATATCATGTAACAACTTGACGATCTCTGAGTAATGAGCCACACTTTCGACTAAAATGTACCTTCCTTTGGCAGAAGGGAGCTCAAATGCACGAATGTGAGCTTCCGCGACATCTTGGATGTGCACCCATGGTAATGCCTCATTTGGATACGTTTGTGCCCCTAGCAATGAGTAATTGTTTTAAGTTACAATCGTTTCGAGCTACAATATTTATAGCAGAGATTTTAAATAGCTAATCGTTACATACTTCTATTCATGTATAACATATAACACAATAAAACATTAATTGGATCATTAGATATGATAGAATTTATGCAAACCGTTGATCAAATTGAAAATTAGAGCCACGGTTTCATTAAGAGTCGGCTGCAACATAGGACCTATCACCATGCCTGGATTAATTGTAACCAAATCAAGATCATGGTCTTTGGCAAACTTCCACGCAGCCTCTTCGGCCAAAATTTTTGATATCAAATACCACATCTGCAAAAGCTCGAATATTTTAAAAATTAACCTAAATGTTTAAAGTAGTAAGCTAGAAAAATTTGTATTCATTGTACTATTATCAATTTATCACAACACCTTTTAACCTTTTATATCTATCGGGATGCATATAGAGGTAGGTTAGTAGGTGCATACTCAAAAAGTCAAAAGTGGATTTTTTTTTTTTTGCTCATTTGATATTTGATTGAATTAGTTAGAAAAAATCCTTACGTATACGTACAATGCACCTGGGTGTAATAGAAAAAAAAAACAAAAAAAAAAAAAACAAATAAACATACGTACCATGTTAGGGAATATGCTAGTTAATTGTGGTTTAGAGAACCAACTTTCATCAACCACCACGTCGGGCGCTAGCGGTATACCGGTAAATAGTACTGTTGCGAGGGAAGAAGTGAAAAATACTCTTCTAACAGAAGAAACTCTTGTACAAGCATTAAGAACATTCAGGGTTCCCTTCACTGCTGGATCAAGTACTTCAACCTATAGTAATAAGTAATTTAATTTATTACAGTACCAACTCTACCAAGCATAATTAATTAATAATCAACAAACGTGATCTAAAATTCTCAATTGCATGCCTCTAAGATGATATTAAACCACTAATAAATTGAGTGTTATTTGCAATTACCAATAAATTTCCATCTTAATAAAATAAATAAAACAATATTTGAGCTAATTATTAAAGCTAAATGAGGAACACAAAAATCATACAGTACTACTAGTACTCGTACACAGATGTAAAGCTAGATTGCAATAATGCATGACAGCATGTGATGCGTGCTTTTACATTTCGAAAAACATTTATTATAACAATTTCGTGCATGCTATTAGGGTAAGTTTATCCCTAACTTTTAATTACTTTTTTATTATTCAGACTCATACAAGGTTTTCTCCAATTTCACATATTATTCCAACACTCACTCCAAATTTACTTATCCAATTAATATTTATAACATTAATTTATTTATATTTATTAATTATTTTAATATGGTGAGTTGGCAACTCACTATTGGATAGCATAATTATTTTTGTCCATTTGTATAGTCTCAAGATGGGTTTTAGAATCCAAACTCATCTCAAGACTATATGTAGTTTTGATAGAGATTATTGCTAGAATCTTGCTCAAGACTTGTCTAAAGACTCATCTTAAGAATAAGGATAAACTTACCCTTATAATAATAGTAAAATTTGTTAATTTTTATAATAATATAGTACGAGTAGTAGATTTGAATACACCTACCATCAAAACTTATTTAATAATAATTGATAAACACTACTTCCTCCGTTCTTTTATTATTGCATTACTTGCCTTTTTAGGAAGTTTCACAAATACTGCACCATTTCCTCTTTAAGAAAAAAAAATTGTGTTCATACTACCAAGGGCGGAGTCACGAGGGGGGCTGGTGGAGGTCCGACCCCCGTGGGCCAGCCCCTAGAGTTATTACTAATTATAATTATGTTAACTAAATGGTAACATGTTACTGGTGGCGGAGTGGGTAGTGTCATAATATGACTAGAGCACTACCATTTAAGATAGCATATTGTTTTTGTAATTTTGTCCTTTCATTTTTTATTTTATTTTTTAATTTTATAACTTTATCTATGTTATATTGATATTATCTAGTATTTCTTTCTTTATCTCAACGTTTTATTTTTCTTTTTGTTTACTTCACCTATGATATAATCTAGTTTTTTCTTGTTTTATATAGCAATCACAACATTTTTACATAATTGTATTGTAAAAGTTTACCGATTAATAGCTTTTTCCTTAATATTAATAATAAACAAATGATTAATTTAATACATTGCATTTAATCCTACAACTTGTTATTTAATAACATTTGTTTTCTATACACTAGTTATATCAGTAAAATAATATTGTAAAACACAAATTTTAAATTTACGAATATAAGTTTTTTGTGCCAACAAATATATAGTCAAAACTAATTACTAATGTATGATAGTACGTACAAAAGCAAAAAATTTGGATTTATAAAAAAGTATGGAGTAGGTAATATACGTCTTGGCCCCCTTAGACTTATAATCCTGGTTTCGCCCTGCACACTACAAATATCCAACATATCCTTGCTTTTTCACATTTACGTTTTAGTTTATCAATATGTCACATGTGCAATTTTGTATTTTTACTTTTCTCTCTCTTACTTTTTTCCACTATCAAAATATTTGTACGATTGCACCCAACCCATATGGTGCAATAATAAAAAAATGAAGGAAGTATTTAAAATTATGCCATACCTTTTTTTTAAGACAAAATTATGTCATACTTTTGGCATCTTTAGGGTTGTTATAATAATTTGTACACTAGATTAGTCTCGTGCGATACACGATTTATATAAATAAAATATTTTAATTGGTTCATTTTCTTACATCAAAATTAAAAAAATATCCAAAAATTAATAATACATCCTGAAACCGGTAGGGAAGCTCTAACTCTCATAAATTAAATTTTATCATTCTTTTCCCCGATTACAAAAATCTAATCAGACAAATTGAGTGAACAAACAAACAATTAATTTTATATTTTCTCTGTCAATGAAATATTCAATAATGTAGGATAGCCAAGGATCTCAATCCATGATTGCATCAAAATCCAAATTCTCAATCAAAGTGGATACCTATAGAGTGGTTGGTAAGTTTATGTTATTTTATTATTTTATTTTTTAAAAAAAAAGGTGAGAAAATGAAGAAGAGATGAAACCTGAGGATTTTTGACACTGAAATTGACAGGAGAAGCAGTATGAAAAACACCTTGGCATCCAGAAAAGGCAGAATCAAAGGAACCCTCTTCAATTAAATCTGCTTTAAATAGGCGAAGCCTCTCTTTTGCTCCCTCTAATTCCATCAAATGCTTCACCTTTTTTGAATCATCTACATAAATGACAAATAATATTAGCTAGGAATTAATACGAAGTAATAATAGAGTAATAATTAATAAGCTCTAAGGGCATGTTCTGTTCCGTTGAAATTCAATTCAGTTCAGTTCAGTTCAGCTCAGCTCTTAATTTATGTCTAATGATATTGCTATTGATATAAAGCCAAATTTCATTCTTTTAAACTCTTATTACAACGACAACAACAATAATAATAATAATAATAATAATAATAATAATAATAATAATAATAATAATAATAATAATAATAATATTAACAATAATAATAATAATAAAAATAATAATTGAAATAATAATACTAATAATAATAATCAATAAATAATAATAATAATCATCAATAAATTATAATAATAATAATAACAATAATAATAATAATAATAATAATAATAATAATAATCAATAAATAATAATAATAATTATCAATAATTAATAATAATAATAATAATAACAATAATAATAACAATAATAATATTGATACAATTCATTGTTCAAATGGTTCTATTTTTTTAAATTAAATAGTATATGTGTTTAAAATGTTTAGAGGTTTTAAGTTTTTAATATATTTTCCATACATTTTATAATATATTTTCCATACATTTTATAATTATAGTTATATAGTATATTTTTCGTAAATATTTTAATATGTACATTTGTATATACACATATGTATAGTAATAAATATCAATAAATAATCAACAAATAATCAAAGATCACTAATCCGTAGTTAACAATCACTAATTAATAAGTTCAGTTCAGTTCAGTTCAGTTCAGTTCAGCTCGGTTCAGTTCAGTTCAGTTCAGTTCAGTTCAGCTGAGTTCAGTCAATCGGAATAGGCCCTAAATCTCCTATTGAAATATAATTAATTTTCAATTTTGGAAGAATGAAATTGTTACTTTGTTAGTCATATCCTATAATAATCCATGACCCGTGACCTCATACAGTCACTAGTTCAAACTCCTAGTCCTACCATTCTTAACTAAAACTCTAATCGGTTTAATTTAATGTACACTAATATTATGTACGAGTACATGTCGTGCCATGCCACTATGGATGTATGATATATACGGTGCAATACATTGCATATACAATTATAAATTCATATGTACATGATGAAAACCAAGCGAAGAGAACAACCAAGTGTAACTTAAAAACAAAACGCACTAAATCTAATTGTATGTAAAAAAGAGAGTATGTGTACATACTTAGATCGCGAACAGTGGCATGGACGGTGTAACCACGGTGAAGCAATAGTTTTACAAGCCATGAAGCGATATAACCAGAAGCTCCTGTCACACACACCGTCTTATCTTTCCCTCTTCCTTCACTACTCATCTTCTTCACTTTTCTTTCGTTCTCTCTCAATAATATAATGATCCTCTATTCCTCTGACTTTGAATTTGAATACAGTTTATAACTTTTTTAAGATGGACTGCTGCCTTATATAATTCTTGTAGCAATGTTGCGCTGTTTTTTATTGACTCCACATTCCAATGCAATTTTAAAAAAATATATACTTCATAAAGGTAGATATTACCTAATGTGATCCAATTAATCCATTATCAGCATATAATATTATATAATGTTCGATTCTTGTCAAATTTAGAGGCTGTTAGAAAAAACAATGAAAATTGATGTTCAAAGAGACCGGATAAATTCTTCAAGGCACGTGATAAACGCTTTTCTAATAGTTATTTATCGACTCTCTTTGGAACAATCGAGTTACACGATAAAACTATTGGGATACAATGAAAAACCAATTAGTTTTGCTTGTTCTTACAAAATTAATTCAACAAAGTTTGAGTATAAATGTGTTTGTTTTCACTCTAAGAAAATTACTGCAGATTTTCTCTCAAAGTAAGCAAGAATGATTTGTAATTGTAATCTCTTGCCTCATACATGTCATATAAACTCCTATTTATAGAGTTTATGAAGAGCAGTTTTAATTCCAACAGATATGTCCGTTCACAAAGCAAACCGTTCAAAAAACTGTCAAAACCGTAAGTTTTGAACTTTGCCCGGTCAGACCGGGCAATGGAGCCCTATCGGGCGCGAGCAACACTTTTGTAAAACATGTAAAAACTGACAAACTCTCTTCGCCCTGGCAGACCGGGCAATTGAGCCCTACCGGGCGCGAGCAACATCTCAATGAAATTGAGATAATTGACAATTTTTACTCGTGCTCGCCCTACAGGGCAAGATTGCCCTGGCAGCCACGGCGAAGCACAAATTTGTCAAATTTGACTTGTTTTGTCACTTTTATACATCTTGCTTTGCTATACCTCTAAGTATAATCATTATACTAATCCTCCTCAACTCCTAGCATAATATAAACTTCATATATGATACATAAGCTCCATTTATTCCATAAATGTTCCAACAATCCTCCTTCATTTATATAATAAATGTTAAAAGAACTTATAACTTGCTTAAAACAAACAAATATACATGCTCATACATAATGAAAATATCTAACGATTGAATTTTCACTTAGTATAAATATACTTAACAATAGTTCCGATCATAATGATAGACTAAGCTTTGAATCATACAACCACTTTGAACTATTGAAGATATCATACATACAAGCAATACACAAACTATTTTGTATCCTTGACACCTATGAATCCTTAGTGTCCATATCCATTCATGAGTGATCCAAGTTAAGCCTTAACCTTGGTGAAGCGGCCAAACCTCTTACTCATATAGGTAAATATTTAAGAGAACATGCTCCTGCAATTTGAGCAACTTATCAAAGATTTATTAAGAAAATTTCAACCTCTTAATCATTACAGTCACAAGCACTAACCTTGGGATGTTTACAAATCTAAGTGCTTCATATCATCAAGTGAAGTAGTATCCTCATTGAATTTAAGATCTAATGTTGTATTAGATGTTAAATTGAGTTTTCCTCCACTTTAGATATTTCAATAGGCTTAAGACCCATCCCTATAGATGTTTTGTACACTAAATCTCTTGGCAATGGTTTGGTAAATGGATCCGCCAAGTTAAAGCTAGACCGTACAAAATCAATGGTAACGACTCCATCCTTAATCAATTCACGCACATAGTTGTGTCTAACACCAATGTGCCTTGATTTCCCGTTATATACTTGGCTATATGCCTTAGCAATTGTTGATGCACTATCACAATGTATAGCAATAGGAGACATAGGTTTTACCCATAAGTCAACCTCATTTAACAAATTCCTTAGCCACTCCGCTTCTTTACAACAAGAAGCCAATGTTATGAATTCCGATGCCATAGTTGAATCAGTTATACATGTTTGCTTCTTAGAAGCCCAAGAAATGGCACCTCCTCCAAGAACAAACACCCATCCACTTGTAGATGAATAATCTTCCTTGTTTGTGATCCAACTAGCATCCGAGTATCCTTCTAGCACCGAAGGATCTCCTGTATATGTCAAACTATAATCAATAGTTCTCTTCAAATACTTTAGCACATGTCTTAACGCTTGCCAATGAAACATACTAGGATTACTAGTATACCTACTTAGCTTGCCTACAGCAAAAGCTAAATCAGGTCGAGTGCTTGTCATAGCATACATCAAGCTCCCGATCAAACTTGCATACTCCAATTGTGAAATAGGAGTACCACTACTTGGAACCAACTTAATACTAGGATCCATAGGAGTAGAAACAAGAGAACAATTTGTTTCTCCAAACCTCTCCAACACTTTCTCAATATAATGAGATTGTGATAAAGATATTGTTCCTTTACCTCTCACTATTCTTATTCCAAGAATAACATCCGCTTCTCCCATATCTTTTATGGAGAAACTAGAAGAGAGAAAATCTTTGGTTTCTTCAACTTGTTCCAAATCAGTCCCAAAAATAAGCATGTCATCAACATATAAACAAATTATGACACCTTTACCATTGTCATCGAATTTGCTATATACACACTTATCGGATTGATTTATTTTAAACCCATTAGCCAAGACAACTTCATCAAATTTTTGATGCCATTGCTTAGGTGCTTGCTTTAGCCCATACAAAGATCTAATTAACTTGCAAACTTTGGTTTCTTGTCCTTTGACAATGAAGCCTTCCGGTTGTTTCATGTACACTTCCTCCTCCAATTCACCATTAAGAAATGCCATTTTAACATCCATTTGGTGAATTACTAAGTCATGAATCGCTGCTAAAGCAATTAATAACCTAATAGTGGCAATTCTTGCCACCGGAGCATAAGTATCAAAGTAGTCGATACCGTGGGTTTGCCTAAAGCCTTGAACCACTAAGCGGGCCTTATGCTTTATCACGGTTCCATCGATCTTCTTTTTCCTTACAAATATCCATTTACAACCTAAAGGTTTGCAACCGGGGGGTAAATCCGATAAAACCCAAGTGTTATTACCCATTATTGAATCCATTTCGTCATGTATTGCTTCTTTCCAAAAAAACAGCATCATGAGACTTCATAGCCTCATCAAAAGTCTTAGGATCCTCCTCCACATTGAAACAATATGGAGATAGAGTCATAATTGACTCTCTTGACCCTTCAACTAAATACAATTGAAAATCGGGTCCAAAAGATTTATCTTTTCTAATTGGTTTACTTTTTCTAATCTCCGGCATAGTAGTTTCATGATCTTCATTAAAATCATCTACTACAATGGAGCTAGTACTAGGTAACATATCCTTTGGCCTTGGAATTGATGAGAAACGAGTCTCATCAAATATTGCATCTCTAGACTCTATCACAGTGTGAATAGAAACAAAGTCATTAGGCTCAATGACATAAAACCTATAGGCTTTGCTATGTTCAGCATAGCCTATAAAAAATGCAATCAATTCCTTTTTCACCCAATGTTTTCCTTTTAGGTTCCGTCAATTTGACAATTGCCCTACATCCCCATACCTTAAGGTAATTGAGAGTAGGCTTCCTTTTGTGCCAAAGTTCATATGGGGTAGTCTTGTTCCTTTTATTTGGAACTCTATTCAAAATATAACAAGCTGTCAACATAGCCACCCCAAAATCCGTCACTTAGACCCGAATTAGAAAGCATGGAATTAACCATTTCTTTTAGGATTCTATTTTTTCTTTCCGCAATCCCATTACTTTGAGGAGAATATGGTGCGGTCAGTTCATGAATTATTCCAATGGATTCAAAATATTTAGGATCATAATACTCTCCACCCCTATCCGTTCGAAGTCTTTTAATTTTTACATTAGTTTGCAATTCAACTTCGGTTTTATAGACCTTAAACTTATCAAGGGCTTCATCTTTAGAAAATAATAAATATATGTAACAAAACCTTGAAAAATCATCAATAAAAGTCACAATATATTTCTTATTTCCTAACGAAGGTGAGCTCTTAAAATCACACAAATCACTATGCACCAATTCAAGCAAAATTGATTGTCTTTCTACACTAGGAAAAGGATTCCTTGTTATTTTATTTAGCATGCATGTTTTACACTTCTCTAAATTGTAATCAAAAGAAGGAATCAAACCCATTTTGGACATGTCATACAAACGACGATAATTAACATGACATAAACGATTGTGCCATAGAGAAGAAACATCAAGCATGTAAACAGAATTAACAACTTTATTATCAATGCTTAATTTAAACATTCCATTACAATAATATCCTTGTCCTACATAAATACCACCCTTACTTAATACAAATTTATCAGCTTCAAATACCATCTTAAATCCATACTTATTCAAGAGACCTCCTGACATTAAATTCTTCCTAACTTCCGGTACAAAAACAACATCTTTAAGAGTTAATGTTTTTCCGGATGTTAACAACAATTCTACTTGACCAGTTCCTTTAGCCTTGACCGTAGAATCATTTCCCATGTACAAAATTGGACCATCTTCCAATACTTCAAAAGTCTTGAAATAATGTCGATCTTTGCGCACATGTCTAGAGGCTCCCGAATCCACCCACCAAGAATCATCAACCTGCACAACATTGATCTCAGAGATCATAGCCACAAAATTCATTTCTAAACTTGTAGCATCATGTGCAAAAATCATACCTTGGTCTTTGTCAACATCTTGTTGACCTTGCTTGTTGGCCTTCTTCTTTTTCCAAGAGGGGCAATCCCTCTTAAAGTGAGGACCATTACACTCCCAACAATTGACAGATTTTATTTTCTTGCCCTTCTTGTTAGGAGTCTTTTTGTTGTTGGATTTAGAGGGTCTTTTGTGGGATTTTTTAGTCCCATTTGACTTTTCTTCTTCCATCACATTAATGGAGGAACCCGGAGCACTTTTGTCATTGACATTAGTGTCCTTAACACCTTCTTGAACCCGGATACTCTCCTCTATACGGAGATGAGTACCCAATTGTTCCAAGGTCATTTCCTCCTTTTGATGTTTCAAGGAGTTTTTAGCATCCTTCCAAGAAAAGGGTAATTTATCAATGATTGTTCACCGCAATGGCCTCATCCATTACCATACCATGTAATCTAATTTGGCTTAAAATATGTTGAACTTCATGAAATTGTTCCATAACAGGCCGATCATTAGTCATCTTAAAAGAATTAAAATTGCTAACAAGAAATTTCTTACTTGAAGCATCCTTGGAAATGTATTTGGATTCAAGTGTGTCCCAAAGTTCCTTTGCACTCTCCATATTTTGATACACATCAAACAAGGTATCGGACAAAGCATTCAAGATGTGACCACGACAGATGTAATCGTCATTTTCTCACTTGGTTCTACGACGTTGTGTCTCCAAGGTTTCTTCTTCTCCTTCGGGAGGACCGTGCGGCATGGGTGTAGTAAGTACATACACCACATTCAACGTTGTCAAGAGGAAATGCATCTTCTTTTGTCAACGACGATAACCTACACCTTCAAACTTATCTAATTTCTGGAAATTGGTAACCATATCACGCAATGAAGAAGCCATTATCCCACGAGTAAATAACTATTAGATTGTTAAAAAAAACAATGAAAATTGATGTTCAAAGAGACCGGATAAATTCTTCAAGGCACGTGATAAACGCTTTCCTAATAGTTATTTATCGACTCTCTTTGGAACAATCGAGTTACACGATAAAACTATTGGGATACAATGAAAAACCAATTAGTTTTGCTTGTTCTTACAAAATTAATTCAACAAAGTTTGAGTATAAATGTGTTTGTTTTCACTCTAAGAAAATTACTGCAGATTTTCTCTCAAAGTAAGCAAGAATGATTTGTAATTGTAATCTCTTGCCTCATACATGTCATATAAACTCCTATTTATAGAGTTTATATGAAGAGCGGTTTTAATTCCAACGGATATGTCCGTTCACAAAGCAAACCGTTCAAAAAACTGTCAAAACCGTAAGTTTTGAACTTTGCCCGGTCAGACCGGGCAATGGAGCCCTATCGGGCGCGAGCAACACTTTTGTAAAACATCTAAAAACTGACAAACTCTCTTCGCCCTGGCAGACCGGGCAATTGAACCCTACCGGGCACGAGCAACATCTCAATGAAATTGAGATAATTGACATTTTTTACTCGTGCTCGCCCTACAAGGCAAGATTGCCCTGGCAGCTAGGGCGAAGCACAAATTTGTCAATTTTGACTTGTTTTGTCACTTTTATACATCTTGCTTTGCTATACCTCTAAGTATAATCATTATACTAATCCTCCTCAACTCCTAGCATAATATAAACTTCATATATGATACATAAGCTCCATTTATTCCATAAATGTTCCAACAGAGGCAGTCTAACTTGACATAATGACATGCACCCAAATAGTATGGCTCTTCAAAAAAAAAAATAGTGTGGCTTCTCCATGTTGAGAGTAAAGGATAGCTCAATTGTTTAGACCATTTTTTCGAGTCTGATTTTAGGAGATAGATTTTGGGATCGATTCTCATCAATCATCGTTCATCCTACTTCATATTTTATTCCCTTCATTATGGATTAATCACAATAATAAGTTTTTTATAAAGTTTTGAGATAGTAATATAAAGTACAGTTAGAGCCTATTCACTTCAGCTTAATTTCAATTCAGTTCAACTCTTATCAGTTTAGTTCAGCTCATAATTCCTTCTCTCATAAAATTTTCATTTCAGCTCTATTTATTTCAGTAAATGTGAACAGACCCTTAGTTGAAATATTTTTAATTGTTAGTGGGAGTAGATACATAGACCTATAATAAAATAATAAAGAGTGCTTGTTTTCAAACAATAAAAAAAAAGTGGAGTTAAGACATTGGGGTCTAAGTTTTTAATTTTTTTCACCCTTTGGGACTTCATTTTTTTTTTCACCGTTTGGAACCTAAAGTCTACTTTCAGACCAAAAAGTAACTAATAAGGTGAGTTTTTCCTAAACCTAAAAAGCACCAAGCATCATTTTTTCCCCTCCTTATGAATAGTGCTCTGACCATATTGCCCCTGTATTTGTTCTTGAAATTCCTTATGAATAGTGTGCTCCCCGAATTGCCCTCATAAATATGTCATGTGCTGCTTAAGATTTCTGCCCAAAGTGCCCCTGCTTTTGTGTGAGGTCTTTCTTTGTCAATAGTGTCATGCCCACATTGCCCTTCTGTATTTGTGCATGTGAGGGTCTACGTGGTCCCTCAAAATTGTCCACGTTGTATTTTTAAAAGAAACCACGTGTTGCGGGGTGCGTCGGCTTTCTTCTTCCTCAGCTTGACAATGGAGGTTATTTGGAGTTCATAACTGCTTCTTTGAGGGCGAGATTGCTAGGGAGAGCAGGAGGTTAGTCTTAAACTAGTTATTGTGCGGAATAGCCGGGATAATTTTGAAGCTCATTCTGGGCGCAATATTGCTATTTCCATGTACACGGGGAGTTGATGCTTGGTGAGAAATTGGTGGAGTAATTAGGAGTTTATTCCTTGATTAGTTTTGCTTGCGTAGTTGCTGAAATTTACCCAAACAACTGCGAACTTATTATGTGCGCAATTCTACCATTTACAGATATATGCAGTCCATGTTCAGTCCACTTACTGCTGCTTGCTAGCCTTCTTCATTGGTTGTTCAATTTGTTCAGATTTATTAGTGCATGTTCGTTTATAAGTAAGTTAACAATTGCTTACTAAGCCATTCTTTTACAGCTTTGTTAGGTGTTACTCTGCAAAAGTGGGTTACTAATGTGTTGCTTGATTAATTAGTTGTAACTTGTTTAACTATGTTATTAGTTTTGGAAGGGGTTAAAATGGCCAATTGATAATTAGATTGTTTAAGATCTTATAAAGTTATGAGGGTGTTTAGTTAATTATTTTTAATAAGTAGCACTGACATTTTATTCTGCCTGTTCAGCAGAACATTCTTTGGACCAGTGGGTTTTCGATACTCATTTTACTTGGAATATGAAGCTGAAGCATTGCATTACACACTGGTCTGTCTTTGTTTACAATGGGTAAGAGTATTACTCTTTTAAAGAAGCTTATTTGGTTTTTGGGCAGTGGGTCTAGCTGCTTGTTTAGTGATAATGAGCTTGTAAGGTTGTCATTAGATCAACGCATGCTTACTTTATTGTAGGCTTTAATAGGTGAACTCAATTACCTGCTGTGTTTTGCTGAACCTTTTTCTCTTTATTTTGTCTTCTACTGCTTTGCTGGTTAATAAATACAGGGGGGTTTATTTGGTTTCCTACATATGCATTGTACATGTCAGATTTCATAGGGGTTGCATCAGAGGTAATGCAGAAATTAGATCTAGATTTTACTTGTGTTGGTCAAGAGCACTACAACATTCAAGAGCTGACTATGAAAACAGAACAATTAATAACTTGCTTTGGAACATTGATCTTAGATTATGTGCACTGAGAACAATTACCTTGACTTGCTATGCTATCTTGGTTGGTGATTCACTGATCATTAACTATTCACCCAAAAAATTGAATGCTGGACTTGCAGAAACTGACTTGCAGATCTATTTCCTGTGTGATTATAAGATTGTACCATTTACTGGCTAATTAACTCTGTCTTATTTTGCTAAAAACAATAATTGTGTGGGTTCAAGATTGGCTACCATGTGTTTGTTGAGGGGATGCATTGTGTTACTTGGTTGTGCTTGACTCTTGATGGGTTACCATGGCCTTGCTAAGGAACAATTACAAGTTTACTGTTGTTGCATTGTTAATGCTTAGGTTTAGATTGCTTGCTTTGGGTTTCTTCCTCATGCCATTGTCAAAGTAATGGAGTGCTTGCAAATTGTGCATTTTTTTTTACCAGCTTATTAGTTAATCAGTTATAGTCTTTTCAGATTATTTTGATAAAATGCTGAATTTTCTGTTTTTGTTTTGGCTTAATGTTGTGCAGAGTTATGACCTTGCAATGGCTGCAGATGAAGTTCCTTCCGTGAGTATTTCTGAAACCTTTCTATGTATACCTGATTTGGCTCATGTGTTTGTTTAGTTGTTGTTTTTAGCTGATGCTAAATTTGCTATGTTCATTTCACATTTTTTCACTTGTTAAATAAGCTGGCAGTATGCCTTGTCTGGATGTGGTTTTTATTGTCCCTATTGATGCATTGTGTGGTTCAAGATTGGCTACCATGGGTTTGTTGAGGGGATGCATTGTGTTAGCAAAGTGATGCCAAGCTAGGCAGCTTGATTCTGTGTTATGCTACCTTTATTGTTTTTTTTTTTTTTTTTTGCTGTATCATGTTGCATGTCTTAGTTGCTTTTTATTAGCTGAATATATATGAGGTAGCTGTTTTTTTAAAAAGAATGCAGTTCCTTTGGCTACATGAGCATGATACCGTGTTTTTAGATGCTTTTATAAATTGCGTATGTACTTAGTTTATTATGGCTAGGGTATAGAATTACAATGTTCTTGTGGAATGCGTTTGCCTTTTTAAAAATGTAGCTAAGGTTATTAGATGTCTACGCTAGAATCAGTTGCATACATACTTTTCTCATGTCATGGGTGTGCACACAGGTGGGTGGGCATGAAACTCGGAAAGTTTCTATTTCTTTTACCCACCTCCTCCATCAGGTTGTTGCGTACCTGAAACTTCCTGTGCCAGCTTACTATTTGGTGGATGTGGGGAAGAATGCTGTGAAGATTGTCATGGAGACTGATCCAGGTTTGGGTCCTTCTATGTATGAGGGTGGTCCTGCTACAACAATTAGGGAATCCCGGGAAAAGGCTGCTGAAAATGTTGTCCGTGCTCTTCGGATGGAATTCAGTATTCAGGTTGAGGACTTCACTTCTAGGAAAATCAAAAGACTCGAACGCGCTGAGTTTTTGTATCAGATGAAGCGTATTGAGCTAGAAGCAATTGAAAGAGGGACAGGGCAGGTTCCAGTGAAGTGGCCGGCTGTGCCTGATCACAAGCGCCGAAAGAAATATGTTTGCATTGATTACATGGATGTTTTGCACACCCTGTCTTTCGAAACCAAAGCGCGTATTTCTGAAGTTGACACCTTTAATGTTGGCCCTGGAAAATTTGTATCATGGGTGACAATTTATGGATCTTCAGTTGCTACTGGAGTGGAGTGTTTCTTTAGTGCTGTGCGTGCTGACTTGAAAGCAACTAAGCAAGATGCAGCTAGGAAGGCTGTTGATTTCATACGTACTACATACAATCTTGACATGGTTGATCTGAACTATGGAAATAGGATTTATGCTGGCATAAAATGTTCTCTGGCTAGAGAGAGCTATTTAGCAGCCAAAGAACGTGTGCTAGGGATTCAAGGTGCTCTTCAGTTAGCTCCTTTTTTAGTCGAGGAAAGTTTTGTTACGCCTAAGTCTGCTGTCCATAGGATCCCAGCACCTACTCTTCCTCCACCACCACCTCACAAGCCAAGATCAAGGCCATCCTTCAGCGCTCGCTATACTGGCCACCTCTCACCCACACCGGCTGAGTTAGATAGCTTCTTCAAGCGTAGAAAGTTTGAATAGTGTGCTGCTGCATTTCACATAGAGTGATAGCTTTGCATTCTTAGTTTTTAAGTACGCTTATTTTGTTAAGGTTTATAGTTATGGTCTGATTCCATTTTGTTGTACTTGTGTGTACATGTAGTTGGCAAAGACTGGTATTCTATCATTTTGCCATTTAGTTTTATAGTTAAAGCTGCTCTATGTGTACCTGTAATTGGCAAAACTAGTGTACTGCTTTTGCTTAGTATAATGTATTGCAACCTTTTGTAGTTAATCAATGATATAAAATTGTTTTGCCATGCTTTACAATATTTGAGTGCTTATTTTAAAAGGTTACCAGAATATTTGTATTTAGTACTTTGCTCTTTATGTTTTTGGTTTTTTGCTAAACCATAATACGTAGACACTGGTTTTGGCCAAAATAGATGGCTAATGTGACCAGTTTGCATTTCTTCCCAATCCCAGGTTTAATTAGGTGCATTCCTTCCAGCACAGTTTGTTTGTTTCACAACTAAACTCCAGCTTTCAACTGTTTGTGCTGCAAACCTTTTACTGCTACCATGAGTACTACTGCTATCTCTAGCTAAATCTGATTGTTATTTATATACCAACACCAACTCATCAATAAGACAATACATCTAGAAACAAATTTTTTGGGGAGTGAATCTGAATATCTTAAATTGTATTCCAGATCGCTGCTTAGTTGCTAAGAAGGGTCCTGCAAAAACTAGGACTAGCAAGCGTTTACAGGGCTTACAAGCTTTGTCTGGGACACCTGTTTCAATAAGGTCATTTGTTGTTCTGGTTGCAAATGTACCCTGCTAATTTACTCACAGTGTTTGCTCACACTTTTTTTCACATTCATTTAAATTCCCTATTCACTTGTATCATACAGAGAACCTAATGAGGCATGCTTAACCAGAGGTGATCAATTGTCTGCCGGATTGCTGAACAGAAGTAAAAGTAAGCACAATTATATGTCTCTTGGATAAGTACTATGGCTGTGAACTGTAAAGATCTTAGACTGATACTCATAGGGCATGCTAAATGAACACTCCTAACTATATATAAACCACAGTCTTGAATTATGCATTACATTATTGCTGCACTTAGATAACATGGTCTTTTGATTACAGGCCCTCATGTCTTTCCTGTTAATGCACCTGAATTAAATAGTGCACAAGCTTCCAGTGAGGCTACTGGAAGGCCACCCCAGTGCATGCTGTATCAGAATACTAACTACTTAAGAAGCACACACAGAGTGACAAACAACAACAAGTTTATACTTTCTCAGACACAATGACCAAAACTTGACAGCAGTTATACTAAACTCAACAATCAACCTTACTTATGCCAGTAAATTTACCAACATTCATTTAATTTCTTCCCTTATTCTTCTCCAACAAAATAAAGGCCAATCTATCGAAAAATGCTGCTCACTTCTGTCCTTCCTGATTATACAATCAGACCCTACACCCAAAACCCCACAAGCCTTATTTCTAGCACCAACACACCATCTTGTGCCTCAATAGCTCTCTTGAGTATTCACTTGCTTTCATCAATACAACAGTAATGTATGTAATTATACAAAAACTCCTCGAATAAATCAAAATAGGCTTGTAAAATAAATCACAATAGAAGACCATGGCATACTATACTAAATATATGTCAGCCTTAATTACCTAAGAATATGCTATCAATACCAATCCCAAAAAATCTGTCCTTAGTTCTATCATCAAAACACAGCAAAGCAGTATGCATTTGGCCATCAAACAAGGGTCAGTGTTTGCTATTTTCAGCCTGATTCAAAACCAACCCCAAACCTGTATTTGATATATAGCATACAACATTGCAATGCTCAACAACTATATCGAAATTCCAGAACACTTAGCTTAGTAACAAAAGGTATCATTATAAAGAATTTTTTTTCAACTTATATAACACTAATCGAAAAAATTCACATTCAGTAAATATATATGACTTAATCTTTTTCTAAGAATTTTATCAATAGCAGAGCACAATGGAAACACCCTGATTGCAGCTGCAGGGCTAAGGTAAATGTTCAAGCCCAAAGGAAAAATGTCTATTTAAAACAAAGTTGGATCTAAGACGGTTAGCATAAGGAAAAAATAAATAAATTAGTGTTGCATAGAATGGATTATATCAATTCACTAAACCCTACTTAATTCCTAAAATTGGGCAGAACATCATTAACTTAACAATATATTAACTCAACATCATTTAGTAACAAGAAGAATCACTCTCCTTCCACAATGAACACTTTGCTTTTATGCAAAATTACATTGTAACTATCTGGCTCAAAATAAACTAACATATTTCATTCAACCGCAATCAACAATCAAAGACATAAGTAATTCCAGCATAATCATATTCATTCACAAGCAATATCCACCTTCAACAATAGCAAGCATGCTGTAATACACCACCACCAATAATTCAAAGCATGTTTTGTGAACAAAAGACCCCTACAATCATGTATCAATACATCTAACATAAATACATAACTTAGGTTCAAAATAGATAATGTCTTAAAATAACTAAGAAAGACCTAAAATAAAGCTACTTCACTGAACAAAAAAACAGAAAGCTTTGAATCTTAATCAGAATCAAACCCATAAGCTTCATCATCGCTTTCAGACATATCCGGAGAATAATAATGGTAAGGATAACCATTAGCTGACTCGGAAGTATCACTTTGCTCCTCAGCCTCCTCTTCCTCATCTGCATCCTTCTCCTCCGAATCCCTTTGCTGCTGCTGTTGTGGGCTATGTTGCGCTGCACCAGCACCCTGAACCCCAACAACAGGTTCCTCTTCCTCTTCCTCTGCTTCAGCAAACGCACCCACCGTTGTGTCAATAACATGCTTCACTATACCTTCATCCTCGCTGATATCCATATCAGCCTCCCCTCCTTCGACCCCAGCACCAAACACCAACTTAGTACCACTGCATTGACCTCTGAATTTAGACGGCTCACCCTGCACACCAACATATCTTATCATTCTCACTGGTGTTTCGTTATCATCAGAATCGCTGTCGACTTTGATTGGAGTTTCATAGTTGCTTGCGGGTTCAGGTTTCTTGCCCTGCGTTCCTGGCTTTGTCTCTTTGGCCTTGCTTTTCCTCTGAGCCACCTAATTCAATACCTAGCATTCCAACTCCAACTTATAAATTTAAGTGAATCTTTAATAGATTACTTGACTTATACATGTAATATAGATTATCTATAATTTTAAAATAACATATACATGCAATTTTTACATCAATAATATTCTAACACTTCGTATCAATATATATGATGTATATACATCACTTTGTTTATGATACACGGGGAAAAAAAGCATAAAATCTAAAGTATATTATTTAGTATACTTATACTATTTTTTTCCCTAATCCTCAATACTCCCTTACATTACAATTCACAACTGCACACTTTGTATTTTATCTAGAAATCATAGCATACATACATTTCAATTTTGTAAAACTCCCAACATTGCCCCATTTCTAAACACGACAAACGAACGTGATTTACAAACCATAAGCGCGCGTAGCGCGCTCTAGCCCCCTAGTTTAAAAAAAGTCCCTTAGTTTAAAAACATAGTCTTCTATTAAAAAACTTAGTCCCCTAAAAAGTAAAGGGTAAATTTGCATTTCCACACCTAACAACACTCCTCCAATTACTCAATTCTCCACCAATCTGAGTGATTATTTTAGGGACTTTTGAACCACATCCATGTGAGAAATCTCTTGTATGATGAACTGACTTCATATCCGATAAAATCACAAAGGGTAAATTAGCATTTCCACTCCCAAACCCACATACAGGTGGAAAATACGAATCCTTGCATTGTGATTATTACTACTTTTACTTCCCTAATTCACAAAATATGGGAGACTAAGTTTATATTTTTATTAATGCTTCCACTTTCATTATTGTCATTACTCAATTTCAATATTTAATATTGTTCATAAGAATATGAAATAAAAGTGATTATAAAGTTAATCATACGGTCATACCTATGCCAAATTGTTAATCATGGAACAAAAAATAAACTTTTTCATTTTTTTAAATTTTTTTTAAGGAAACTTAAACTACACAAAAAGAGCTCTAATAAACTCTTTTTATATACGGTGTATAAAATACTCCGTAAAAAATTCAATTTTCTAAGTTGAACACATACAAATCAAATAATCTTTGTATCATATAATAAATTGAAGAACATGCATAAAAACATACAAAAAAATGTGCATATATAATCAACACATCCAGAAAATAAAGCCAATCAAATCAAAAGAAAAAAAAATACATGAAGTTACCAGGAACATAAATCACGTTAAACCTTGAAACGAATCCTTATGGTGAAAAAATAAATTCCAAGCACTGATAAAAAAAACTATAAGAACCTATGTTTTTGGAATTACCATGTATTATAAAATATTTAAATAAAGGGAGTAAGGGTCTGTTCACATTTACTGAATTGGGCTGAATTGAACTGAACTGATTGGAGCTGAACTGAACTGAATATTTTATGAAAGAGAGAAATTAGAAACTGATTGGAACTGAACTGATTGGAGCTAAACTGAACTGATTAGAGCTGAACTGAACTGAACTGAAATTAAGTAAATGTGAACATGCCCTAAGTTTTTTTTGCAAGAAATTTTATAAAAGGTACGAAAATTCAATGAAGAGATTAAGGGTCTGTTCTCATAGGCTGAACTCAGCTGAACTGAGCTGAACTGAACTGCACTGAATTGAAATGATTATTTTATAAGAGAAGAAAATTAGGAGCTGAACTGAACTAATTAAATTGAGCTGAACCGAACTAAACTGAACTGAAAATAAATGTATGAGAAAAGGCCATAAATTTTTGCTCCGGTGAGTTAAACTTAGGTTAGTTTGCTGGATTGTTAACTAGATCGAGGTCCTAAAAGCTGAAATAAAAAAACCACTAGGTGGAAAAACACGAAATTGGCACCAGTTCAAAACCCCTCAATGCCACCGGTTTTGAACCGGTGAGTATTTGGGGGGTGCCAATAATTGCATGAAAAGCCACCGGTTTGAACCGGTGGGAAAACTTGGTATTGACACCGGTTAACCGATGTCAAAAATGCCCAAAAAAAATAATTCACTGTTTTTGGCACCAAATAACCGGTGCCAAAAGTGCCCAAAAAATCAAAAAAAAAATTTCTCTTTTTTCACTTAAAAATTAAATAGAATAAAATATAAATCGATTAAAATAAATAAGAACATCAAAATATAAATCGAATACCAATCAATATAATCGAAAATTTACAATATATAATAAAAAAAAATTACAACATAGATCAATAAAATAAATCAATTACAACATATTAAAAAATAAAAAAAATTACAATATAAAAAAAAATTACAATATAAATAAATAAAAAAAATTTACAACATCAAATCAAAAAAACCCCACACAAAATCTAAATCAATATTCTTGCATCTTGATTCTTCGATTTAAGATCTAAATCAATATATCTGCACCAATTAAAACAAAAAAATAAATCGATTAGAATAAATAAGCTGCGAAAAAATTATTAAAAAAAAACAGAAAAAAAAACCCAAAAAAAAACCCACAAAACCCAGACATTAGTTATAAACCCAGGAAAAAAAACCAGAAATTCAAATCGAATTCAAGAACTAAAAAAAAACCAGAAATTGAAATCGAATTCAAGAGCTTGGGAAAAAAACCTAGAATTAAAATCAAATTCAAATCGATTAAAATAAAAATAATCGAATTAAAATCGATTAAATTAAAAAAATTAAATTAAGATCGATTAAAAAACTAAAAAAATACCAAAAGCGATTAATTAAAACTAGAAAAATCAATTGATTAAACCCATAAAAATCAAGAAATTTTACCCAAACCTCTAATAGTTTTGGATTAAACCATAACCTTGCTCATGCATGTGTTCGTGGTACGTGGTCTTGGTGGTGGTGGAAAATTCGGTGTTGCATGTGTTCGTGGTGGTCTTCGAATGAAAGAGAAGGAGAAGGACACGAGGGAGAAGGAGATCGAGATGAGAAAGAGAAGGGAAGATGAGAAATATATATATATATATATATATATATATATATATATATATATATATATATATATATATAACAAACCCACCGGGGAATAATATTATCCCCACCGGTTCGGTTTGAACTGGTGGCAATACTATATCCCCACAATCCCATCCATTTCCCCCTTTTTTTCCCCACCGGTTTTTAAGAACCGGTCCATTGAGGGGTGCCTTTTTGCTTTTTTCTACTAGTGAACTAAGATCCCAAAAGGTGAAAAAACTAAAAACTTAGTCCCCATTCTTATACTTACCTCTAAAAAAGTGACGTAATACTTCACAAGTGAGTGTTGTAATTAACCGGAAACAAATGAAAGAAAAAAAAATGCATATAGCATTTAATAAAAAAAATTAACATAGAGAGAACTAAACACCATAATTTCGAAATATACCAACAACAATGCCAATAATTTTAATTTATGGTTAGCCTGTTTTTTTTTCTCTCTTCTCAGCTAGGATGATTCCTCAACAAAATTCAGATACAATGTCCAGAAAAATAATCAATTTATTTGAATTATTAATCCAACAATATATGAGGTGAAACTATGTTTGTTGTTGGTGAATAATATATGAAAATATAATATTCGTCTTTTTTGTTTAGAGATCCTTTTTAAAGTTTTTGCCCCCGGCCTAAAAAATTTATAAGACAACACTAGAAAGAAATCATAGAATATCCAAAGAAAAAAAATGTACTAGTACTCGACGAAGCCCCAGTTAATCAATTTGATAAACAAAATTTGTTTATCAAATGACAATATGGTAAATAAAACAACATAAATGCCTAGTCATCATGACATTTTCGTAAATATATCAATAATAGTGGGACCCAAATTTGCTAAAAAGTTGTTGGTTTATTTACAATTTTGTCATTTAATAAACAAATTTTGTTTATCATATTGATAAACTTGGATTTTCTCCTAGTAATCAATCTACTCATAGTAAATTTTTTGGAGAGAAAAATACTCCCTCCATACTATTGTTTACCATGATAAAAATTTAGGTTATTTTGAACTTTGACCATAATTTTTGTGAGATCTTGTTAAAAATTTTAATATTATAAATTTTTATTAATATCAAGTTTTTATACGGAGTATTTTTTATGAATACAAAAATTAAAATGTACGGAGTACTGAGTAGTAGTGAAATGGAGGAGTAGACGGAGCAAAAAAACTACAAGACGGAGGAGTAGTGAATAATATCTCAATTGATAAAGCACTTATGAGTAAATATTTAGTTTTGACGGTCTTTTTCACCCAATCTTCAAAATAGCAAAACTTCCCTCCAATTCTCACAACTCGTCCTCCAAAACCTTCCCATCCCAACATCATTTCCCATTGGCTAAAACCTCTCTCACACGGATCGCCAGCTTGTCATCTGTCCAACCGTCAGATCAAACCCCCACTCAACTCCACAACCATCCGATCCTACTCTCAAATCCCCCCAAAATCAACCTCATTTCTCCCCACTTATATAATACCACCTCACTCACCCCTCCCACCATTCTCACCACCTTCAAATTCTCAACCCCCTCATTTTCTCTCTCCTCCATTAACAAAAAAGCTTCAACTCTTCATCAATGGAGTCCTCCAAAACCACCACCAAAGGCGCCGGCGGCGGCCGTCGCGGCGGTGATCGTAAGAAATCCGTCACTAAATCCGTCAAAGCCGGCCTTCAATTCCCCGTCGGTCGAATCAGTCGTTTCCTCAAAAAAGGCCGTTACGCTCAACGTCTTAGCTCCGCCTCCCCCGTTTACCTCGCTGCTGTCCTCGAATACCTTGCTGCTGAGGTACATTCAATCAATCTCTCTAAATTTTTTGATTTTTTTTTTTTTGGATTTTTTTGGGGGGTTGAATCTGAAATGGAGTTTGAAATTGTTGTTTTCAGGTGTTGGAGTTAGCAGGGAATGCGGCACGTGACAACAAGAAGAGCAGGATCATCCCTCGGCACGTGCTATTGGCAGTAAGGAATGATGATGAACTCGGGAAGCTTCTACAAGGTGTGACGATTGCGCACGGGGGTGTTCTTCCTAATATAAACCCCTTGTTGTTGCCTAAGAAGGCTGATAAGAAGGAAACTCCTCCTTCACCTAAGGCTGCTAAGTCTCCTAAGAAGGCCTAATTATTATCATTAATGATAATTAGGTTTATTTTATTAACATTAGTTATGAATATTAATGTATGGAGGATGATTGATGTACATTTTGGGATTATATAATATGGTACTAAATCTTCTAATCTTAGGTTTAAGGTTAAGGTTGATTTTGGGTATGTAAATCGGAAGTAAGGTACTTAGTTTATGAGGAATTATAGGTGTAATTTCTCCCTCTTATTTTGCTGAACAATTGTTATGAAATTCGAAATGGTAGTTTTAATTTTGCACATTTTCTATCTTAATTACTGATTTACTACTTAATATTTTTGTATTTATCGTGCTTTATTCAATTTGATTGAGTAATTACGACATTTTAAAGAAAAGCTTATATCGAATGTCCGAATTTATTATTAGAAAGTTTTGGTATGAAGTTTCTCATATTCAAGTTGTAAAGTATGAATACAAAACAATTTAAATACAGATACTAATTACGGAGTACTAAACAATAAGAATAACGACATTAATCTTAAACATGCCTAATAAACTTAAGCACTTAAGGTTTGAGACCTTTGAATTATATGGATTGGGCCATAAGTCCAGCCCAAATTATACTAAGTTGGGTCTATGTTTTCGTTTTCATCAAGCAAACCAAAACACTTTCTCTTCGTCTGAAAAATTCAGAAGTTTCTGGGTTTTAAAGGGGTTTAGTTTTAGCAGCTGAGAGAATTTGCAACGAAGTGAAGAATTTGTTTAATTGAAGCTTTTAAGCTGGTGAAAATGAGGAATTTGATGGTATATTTCTCACATTATTATTCTTTTATTTATTTATTGGTCATTATAAATTAATTGGGATATTATAACTAATTGTATATTATAGTGATTTAGTGATGAATTTATGCTGTTTATACAGAGGAAATTGCCAATCCTTTGTAAAAATTCATTGCTGTTGCGCGCCGCAGCAACCGCTGCTTTAGGTTCTGGGGTTTTATATGCAAATGCTGCCCCTGATTCTAACTCCAGTTGAGTTTCTCATTAATTTTGGTGTAATTTTTTTCAATAATTTGATTCACAATTTTTTTTTTCCTCTGATCATTATAATTTCGTTTGTGTATTGGAATTTGGAACAACACAATTGTGATGATATTGTGCTACTCCTTTATGTTGGACCTCGAATTATTGTCTGTATGATTGAGGAATGCATTTGATTGCATTTGTTTGAATAAAGTTAATTAGAGTGTGGCTTATGCAATTTTAATTCTGCCAGAAATTATCGAATTAGACGGGTTTACAAGTTTTTGGTCCTTTGTTGGATTATAACATCAGTTTATATTTAGATTTCCAGTCAGTGAGGTTGCTTCTGTAAGATATCTGTAAGTGTTACTGAGCTTAGTTTTTTGATTGGGTTTGGATGTTTGATGCTCTATCCAATTCCAAGTGCTGAATTTATAGAGGGACATTGTTGTAGCCGAACGAAATTGGTAGCTAATTGCATGGTTTGATAAGTATCCTAGAATTCTGAATGATTTTTCCGGTTATTGGACAATTGGTGGGTTAGTTATAAGGGAATTTTATGTTATGTTTAGAAGGCCGTAATATAAAGTAGTTTGTATTAATCTACTTTCGTCCATGCCTGACGAATTTAATGTCACAGAATGGATAGATCATTAGATTGGTAGTCGTTAAGCTTTATATGTATACCATTTCAGAATCTGTGTGCGGCGAAGTGTAATAATTGTTTGTGCTAATTTGTGGACGCATAGCTTTTCTGTCTTCTGCATCTTCCGTGCAATTGCGTGTGGTTTGTTTTTCCTTTTACTTATATAAGTAGTAAGCAATTTCCATTTCCTGCAAGTGTGTTGACTGCCTCTGAAACGCAGGACTTCAAGTTTCTTTATCTATTCCAACAAGAGGTAACTTATTATCGGTGCCATGGCGAGTTCCATTGTTTTCTCTTGGCCCCTCGATGCCTGATAAACCTACAGGTTTAGAATGTTTATCATACTCTAGCAGTCTAGCCTATATTGTTTTTCAATAGTAATACTTTTCTCATCTTTGTACTATTCCTATTGTCTAGATGTGGGAAATGATCTCTATCCGCCGCATTTTTCTAGAGTGTCACCTGATCCTCCAGCAGATACGAAAAATCAAGCCCCTACCGATGGTTCTTCTCATTGTTCAAACTGTTTCACTAGAGACACCATTGCCAATGCAGCTGCCAAGGTTAGCCCAGCTGTTGTCAATCTGTCTGTACCAAAGGGTAAATTTATGGTTTCTCTATGCTCTATATAGAGTTCCTCGACACTATTGAGAATTTGATTGTAATATTGATCGTAGCAGGAATCTATGGATTGACTCTGGGAAGGAGTATCGGCTCGGGAACCATTATTGATTCTGATGGTACTATTGTGCTCATGTGGTGGTGGACTTTCAGGGGGTGAAAGCATCATCAAAAGGGAATGTGAGTAATCTCTTTCTTTTTTCTTTGTAAAATCCTGTATCTTCTCTCAAATTTTTCCTGTAGATATAGGCTTTTGATTGTGTCTTCTCTCAAAATTTTCCTGTTAGACATTTATGTTTAACCACTGCTTTGAAGACTCATGACTGGGTTTTAATGTGACATTTTGTTGTGATGGTGTGAGAATTACTTTTGATTAATTGACAATAGTTGATAACTTTTGTAGATTGAGGTTACCATGCAAGATGGTAGAACATTTGAGGGCACAGTATTGAATGCCGATTTACATTCTGATATAGCAATTGTAAAGGTCAAAACAAAGTCACCACTACCAGCTGCAAAACTTGGTTTGTCAAATAAACTTCGTCCAGGAGACTGGGTGATAGCAATGGGCTGTCCTCTTTCCCTCCAAAATACCGTGACAGCTGGTATTGTAAGGTAAAGATTACAAAAATAAAAAGCTGTGGTATTCATGGTTGTAAATATGTCACTAAATAGTAAGTGGTCCAACATTTTTAGTAATACTGGTATTAAATCATACTTAGTATAAAGTATTGTCATTAATATATATATTTTTCTTTATAATCAGCCACTTCACAGCTAACTTGTTTGGAGATGTTATCACTTTATGTCATATGTGATTGGCATTATATTGCTTAAGCTTGTATCCTGCTAATGCCTTTCTTATTTTTGGTCTTAATTGTTTGCTTTCTGCATGGGGAAAATGCAGCTGTATTGACAGAAAAAGCAGTGATCTGGGTCTTGGTGGAATGAGAAGAGAATACTTGCAGACGGATTGTCCTATTAATGTGGTAAGATTGACTATCTCTCGCTAGTGTTTATCCAATAAACAACCCCTGACTTTACTTGACAACAAATTAAAGAGATACTGGCGTTGCATGTCCAAGTTGATTTCACTAATCATTGCCACAGCATTTTTAGTTTATCTTTTATCACTTTAAGGGAATATTATAAAGAGCCTAGCCTGTTGTGCTTGGTTATTGCTGCACGCATATCATCAGACCCACTTTCTCAGGAGTCTTGATTGGATGGTCAGTGGTGGCTGTTATATTTGTTTTATTCCTTTGATTAATGTGTAAATTCTTGTATCTTGATTTTTATGATAGGGAAATTCAGGAGGCCCTCTTGTAAATATGGATGGTGAGCTGGTTGGGGTTAATAACATGAAAGTGCTAGTAGCTGATGGATTGAGCTTTGCTGTGCCAATTGACTCTGTCTCTAAAATCATAGACCAATTCAAGAAAAAAGGGTATTGCTTATAATCAACTTATCTTACAAGCAATCCGTCGTCCCAATTGAAAATTTGCTAGCTTTTATCTTATTTTTGTCATACTTATCTTGCATTATCGTTGCTATTAATATCCCAGGATGATGTGCCACTGAATTTACTGATGGTGCAGGAGAGTTGTTCGGCCTTGGCTTGGACTCAAAATGATTGATCTCAATGACATGATCATATCTCAGCTAAGAAAGAGAGATCCAGTTTTTCCTAATGTCAATAGAGGCGTACTTGTCCCAATGGTAGGTTCAGGTTTCCTTTTCCTGAAGCTTTATTCTTTCCCCATCTGATTTCTTTTGGAACAAAAACCATGCTTGTAGAGTTGTAGAGTTGGTATTTAAACCTCATGCTCATGCGGCGATGCACCCTTGAAATAATGTACTCATTAAAGTTTGGATTCAAGTTACATTATGCAAGATTTGCAAATTTGATTAGATATTTTATTTGATAGACCTTACAATTAGCCATCGGGGCAAAAGTGTTATGGCATGTTTAAAAGAGGCTGTCAATTTGTCATTGTCTTGATTGGAATGAAAGTTACATTATGCAAGATTTGCAAATTTGATTAGATATTTTATTTGATAGATAACCTTACAAGTAGCAAAGAGGGCAAAAGTGTTATGGCATGTTTAAAAGAGGTTGTCAATTTGTCATTGTCTTGAAGATTAGGAACCAAGTAGAATTGCATAAAGCTTGATCAGGCTTCTCAGGAATGAGGATTATGTATTAGGTCTCCTTGTAGTTAAGAATTAATATACTACATCTGAGGAAGAACAACTTGTTCAGGATTGGAGTCTATGAACAGATGGCTGCTTGGTAATAAACTAATAATCCATTTTCCAATGTCACATTTTTTATACATTTACTAAAATTTTGTACTTCATGATGTTCATATAATTGGTAGTAAAGGTATGTAGAATAGAGTCACTATACTCAACTAACTCAAGGTTAAAAGAAATGCTATAAATTGTGGTTGAGATTGCTAGTAAAGATGTGTTGAATAGTATCACTAAGCTTACTGAAGACTAGGTAACTGAGGTATTCCTGCTAACCTAAAGTTTTAGTTGAGGGCCTGAGGGTAATGAGAATCATAAAATTATTATTTTACTGAAAATTGTCGCTTTTATCTCTTATGTCTAATGGTCACAGAGTTAATTCTAGGCTTCTAGCATTGGAATCACTTTTCTGGGGGATAATTTTGAAATGAGGGCAAAAGTTACCGGGTGGTTTAATTTTTTTAAACATATTCAGCTATGTTAAAGGTGTATTGCCTGGAAATCCCCTCCACCCTTTGCACTTCCATGTTCATCTCGTTGGAGTGCCATTTTGATTGCTGTTATTTTGTTGCTTCTTGACTCTCCCACCACTCACCAACTGCTCTCAACAATTTGAGAGTACCTGTGAATTTTTTCTCCTCAAACCAGCTAATTCCATCTTTGTGCAATTGTGTCATCTGACTATCTGAGTTCATAGTGCAAATGTCTTGCATTGTATGCCATTGAAGTGAATTCATTAGTTTTGTTGTAGAAGGAAA